ACCAGCCGCAGCCGCAACACACCAATGTGAGATATAGACTTTTGCACGACGATATGAGAAGTACTGTTGTCTGATTGGAAATACTGTTGTATCTGGGCTTCGAACCCGTGCCTCAGATCACGAGTTTTATAATTAAAGAGAGCTACGAGGTGCTAACAATTAACTTTTTGAACACACAACAGAATTGTTACAGTCATTTCAAAGTTTTATTGCTACTGAAGCAGTTTAAATGCTATAGGTAAGTTTCCTCGTCGCTACAACAGCAGCTTGAACTCAGGGCCAATGAATATTAAAGTCAATAAATTAATGACGATCTGTAGCAAAGATTTCAATCGTGACCCGCACGTCTATTCTGCTACCACTTATGCCATATCAAACAATTTACGGGCACTGAGATTGGACTTTGCCCTCTCCATTTACTTTATGCTCTATAAATCTTGATGTCTTATTTCACCGTCAAACTGTTAACAATTATAACATCCTTTATTTCGTGATTTACGTATGAGTAATAAAATTCATACACTTTGATGGACAACCAGCAAGTCATTAAATAGTCTCTAAAGGTAAAGTCCGTTCAACAAATTACCTTGTGTGATTACTTTTTGCTTTAAATTATTATTGTTATTTAATATAGGCGGTACTATTGATAAATAACCATATGACATTCAAACTTTTTCCTCTCGTATGATTAAGTGGTATTTGCGTCGATTCAATAAAGTCCAGTTAATGATTAATAAATTTAATATTAGACGATTACCTTTATACTTGTTTTTTTCATACCCATTGTACTGTCTTAAACAACAATGTTAAGCGGGCTTTCACATTCATTTAAATTTATATTTTTGTTGGAAAAACGTTGTTTTTCCATATAAATTATTTCTAGGGAATTTGTGAATCTGAACACATAGAGAAAGAATTTTACGCACCCATAAAATGTTTGACAGGTAGGAACAGTTTGTATAGGAAAATAAAATTGTTGCTATTTCTATTTTCCATGTAATTTTTCCATAATTTCTCATCGTTTAAACCTTCCCTGGACTGCCACAAATATTTCAAAACCAAAATTAGCCAAATCGGTCCAGCCGTTATCGAGTTTTAGCGAGACTAACGAACAGCAATACATTTTTATATATAAGAAGAAGTTGAGAATTCCCCGTATACAATTATGATAAAAAATGATATAAGTACTTTACTCTTCTCACTGATAAAAACGTTACAAATCCGCGAATCAACACTTTGACTATTGTTGTCAATCGCGCCTTTTTTTGCTTTTTCGTTATTATAGTTTATCTGCTGCTTTAAATTTCAAGTTTTTGTTTCACGAGCGTATACACACATTAGACTTCTTTATAATACATTCAACAAGTCGACAAAATAATCTTAATGCCAACCCGTGTATTACGTTACCACTGATGGTTACTATCGTTATTATTAATTTGCTTAAATGTGGTTAAACTGCATCGTATGAATTTAAGTTGTTTTTAATTTTTCTGTATGTCACATTTTTTATAATTAATATATAAGCTCATAAAGTTATTTTCTACTTGAACTAAATTAACACAAAAGTAACAATGAATAAAGAAAATATTGTTAATAATTTGCTTCCTAAATACCATACCATCGTATGAAACCATCTCTAAATCTGTCAGTAATAACAATGTTATGATCCGTCCTGTAACTTAAATATTTTATTGTCATTGCGTCACTTGCAACATTAAAACAAAAAAAAATAAACGTTAATAGTATCAGTTTATTTTGTATCAAGGAAATAGTTTCAAATACGCGGACGAGTTACGAATTTTTTTTTACGGTTAACAGTGAACATATTTGAGTTATCACATGCTATTATTTATTGTTAACGCGTCATCGAATATGACATGTTATGTTAGTGCGCGTTAAACACTGCGTTAGATGACTAAGTCTGATTGTACCGCTGACAAGTTCTAGGTACGCAGTGTTTTTTTTTGTTTAACTGTCATTATGTACGTACATACGCGTTCACCGTTATATATTCGCGATGATTGCGACAGGTGTTGCGCGGCGGCTCCAGTGATCTCATCGTTATTGCTCACCGTGATAACATAACCAATAGCTATTAATGGTACATCGATACGTTATCCTGGACGTCACTACTTGAAGTGTCGGCTAGAATTTTTTTAAGTGGATAACGAGCCGCCAACCCTGAATTGAATTGGCTATCAAACTGATTGCCTGATTGCTTTAGGAATTAAAACACACACACACAAGAAATAATAGAGTTATATTTTTTCAACTAACTTAACTTTAAAGAAAACTGTTATGGTTATTTGGTAAAAGGTTTGGGCGCGAAACCAGATTACGCAGATTCGAAGCCCGCGACGCCGAAAGTTGTTATAAATTAATCTACAAAAATTCAGCATAGGCGACACCTCTACAAATTTTCATCGTTAAATATTCTTTGTAAACTGTTGCATGCGCTAAAGGATTCACTCTAGATGGCGCCCAGCATTGCTCAATATACAATAAAAAATATAGAATGTCTCGCATTTCTAAAATTCTCTTCAGAAAGTCTAGATTTTCGCGTCCAGAGGTCATAGGGCACTTAGCTTAATTGTTAAAGCGTCTGAGATGGAAACCGGAAGCCGCTGGTTCCAATCCCGCACCGTCGAAAGTAATTTATGCAATTTTTTTCGACGGGGCGGGTTTATTTATGCAAACAATAATATTAAGTTTCATTTTTAGTACAGAGACTAGAACAAAAAATAAAAATTAATCCTAAAAAAATGTGTGTGTACGCACGCATGTAAGAAGTTATTTTTTTAGAGAGTTTCATGGCAAAACGGGCTGGCGGCTCACCTGCTGTTAAGTGATAAACGCCGCCCACTGGCATTTTGAACACCACTTATTATAAAGTGAGCCCCGGCTACCTCACTCATCAGACGAAATGGAGAATAATAACACTTCCACTTCACGCCGGTGTCGGCGTGTGCGCGCATCGTAAAAATTTTGCTCATACTTTTTTCCAAACGAACTGCTTTTGGCGCAAACTTAACTTAAAAACTGCTTTGGCTGTTAATAAAACTCGGACCGGATTATTGCATCTGTACATAGGTTTTGTTTAATTCATGTTACTTCTGAAGATATTGATATGCATGATATGCAAATTTTACCTTTTTGTATATAAAATAGCATAGACCTTTTATGTTTATGTAATTTTTGCCTTCATATGACGATGTAAAAATTATAGATATATTTCCGATCTAATCCGAATTGGTGATCGGATCTTGAAGCGTGATCGTTTCCTAAGTCCTTCTCGAGACCATGAATGCTGCAGAGTATTCATAACGCAATATATTTCGTCATGTATTTAGCCTAAAATGTAAGATATTTTTTTGCGCGGAAGCTTGAAAACAATACGCTTGATTATTATTACTACGGTCACGTTATTAAGGAAGCATCCTATTGTTCAGCTATACTTACTACGAGTCTAGGTTAATTGATATGCCCAACTCGTGTCACGGGCAGCTCCTAATTGGCTTTGTTATCCTCGTGGCTATATCATAAACGTTAATCTTCTCCGTAATTGTAGATTGTAAGCAATGAAATCAAAATTATTTTTAGTGTTTTTTACTGCGGTTTACAGCCAGATTGAAAACTATAACATTTTTAATTGTATCTCAGGTAGATCTATGTGGAAATTGCACTATGTAATATGAACCAACATTACTAGTGTAATTGTATCTGTATAGTGTTTTTAGGATAATGTCACTGTGTGCGAATAAAAAAATAATCGAGATGGGCCAAATTTAACATAGTACCGTATTGTCCAAAATAATAATCATCATAAAGGAGACAATTTTTTTAGGCCCACTACGTTTCGGGAGCGCAATTACTAATTGCAATTGTACCAAAAGAAAGCATGAACTTAGTGTAGTAAACTAGCAACACTACACTCTTTTCTAGGACAACTGGAAACACAAAATTGTCTTCTTTATAACAAAAAAAAATGTAATGGGTCCTATGAAATGTCACCCGTATATGGCAGTTAAAAAAATAAATAAGTTGTCTAATCTGCAATTATTTGTTGATGAATAATTTACAAGTGTATATAAAATAAGTAAAGTAACAGCTTATCTATATCCCACAACTGGCGAAAGGCATCCTCTGTATGGAGGGTTGTCCAGCGTGTATATTTAGGCTATATTCCACCGCGCGACCACACCTGGATTGGCAGACTTCACAAATCTTCAAAATATTTTTTGTATTATATGTCGATAATACGCAGTTTTCATCACTATTTTCTCTTCACTTCAGGTCGTGATTAATCAGCACTTTAAATTGCCTTTAATGAATTCATTTTACCGAGAATTGAACTCAGGTTTATCTGTATATAGAATTAAATATAAGCGTCGGTACACTAACATTCACGCTTGGTACCACTGATCGGTGCATCCTAATACTTTAAGAAGCATCATTCGATTTGAAAAGATACATTGCTCTGCGCATAATGTGAACGCGGATATAAAATTTAAGTGCCCCTTCTTTATGAGAGGAACGTAACATCATATTTATGTGACGCATGCAGCATTTTGATACGATTATGGCACCATATTTATATATTACACGCGGGCCCAAGTAGTCAGTCATTCAAACTCGAAGGATAAAAACCACAACGTCTGAAGACGCTCAAAGGTGACGCTTGATGAATGAATTTTTTGAGTTCACGTCAAGTAAATTAGTTGTATTAAGATTTATGCATTTCTTGTTTATCTTTATATGTAAATAATTCTTCTGTGCGTGTGTATATGACTGAACTCCTAAACGGTTGGACCGATTTCGATGACATTTTTTTTGTGTGTTCAAGTGGATTCGAGAGTGGCTGATATTCACAATTCGGTCCACTAAAAAATGTTTTATTAATTAATTTTTGATTTATAAGTTGTTGGATTTACAACGTGTGTACGGGTCGTCTGTCGGGTCTGCTAGTATATATATCTATAACTTGATAACTTTGGTTGCAGTGTTTGAAATGCTGGTGTGCGCGCGACAGTGTGCGCGACGCAAGTCCCTCATTCTCACCTTCGGGGAATTCTGCGTCTTCGCCGCGGAGCTGCGACGTTGTTCCAGACAGACTCGCCAGTAAGCCTATTTACACTATACCTCTATTGATTCTTGTGTCTTCTTTAAATCATACTTCATAATTAAACATATCTTTAGTTAAGGATTTATGGAGTGATGAAGAAGTTATAAATTTATTTATTTAGAAACATCATTTGTTAATAGGGACAAACGTTTGCCGTTATTTAATTGTGACGTTTTTGATAAGAGATTCATTCAATTGATTCAATTATGCTACCCGTGTGAAGGTAGTGAACGCAAGCTGATAATGTAATAATATCTATAATGTAAATAAGTTTATAATGTTTGTTTTTTACTAAATATTTACCCAATACATAAAGGAAAGGTGGAACACCAAGATGAGCTTTATATCAGTGAGAAATGTATAAGTAATGAAAAATAATTTTGACACACGACTTTTTGCGGTCGGCTGCCGCTATTGTGGTATTCGACATAGAAAATAATTATTACCAATTAGCGTTCGCCACGTCCTTTCCGGACTCCGGTTGTGTCTTGGTTCGGTTTAAATTCGTCGATGACGCCCCCACCCGCCTCTTGTTTCCCCGATCTTGAACCGAGTACACACGGCCGTGGCGATCGGCTGCCGCCTCTGGGCCGATCGTTGACCCACGGGTGTCGCACGATGAGATGCCATGCATTCATTACGATGCGAATTGCGCCTTCACTCGAGCGAGGTGTGGCCTAGTGCAGGGGTCGCCAACAAGTTAACTTTGTTTTGGTTTTTTAATGTAAGTAGTGGGAAAGAGGTCGGGCGATTACACCTACCTTGCCAATCTATAGAAAAACCGGACAAGTGCGAGTCGCGCACGAAGGGTTCCGTACCAATGTTAATAAAAACGGCGAAAAATCATGTCTGTTGCATGAGAGCTCCACTTAAATATTTTTTTATTATGTTTTTTTTTTCTGTAGCTGCAACAGAAGTACATCATCTGAGAAATTTTCAACTGTCTAACTATCACGGTTCAAGAGATAAAGCCCGGCGATAGATGGACAGACAGACAGACACCGGAGTATTAATAATAGGGTTCCGTTTTACCCTCTTGGTACGGAACCCTAAAAAGTGGGTCCCGATTACCTCACTAACGATATGAAACGCGAAAGTATATTACTTGCACTTCGCGCTGGTCTTCTCTGAGGCCGTGGACAAGCCTGTCCCTTCGTGTAACAGCTGAGGCTGTGTACACTATATTACGTTACACTAACATTTTCAATAGAGCAGTTATTGACGACCTTAAATAGATTATAAAATACTAGCTGGTGCCCGCGACTACGCCTGCGTAGAATAGGCTGAAGGCGCAACATTCATATAGAAACATATATATATAACAAGTATATAAAATGTTTTATTCTGATATATAAGCTAAGTAATTGTAAAGTTTCATTAAAATCCATTCAGTAGTATTTGCATGAAAGAGTAACAAACATCCATCCATACATACAAACTTTCGCGTTTATAATATTAATAAGGATGTACTTACTTCGCACCGCTCCGCAGTAATACACTTACAAAATAAGACGGAACCGACACATTTTTATAATAATTCTAATGTAAAAAACTGTACGCCAACTCATCCAGCCGACAAGAAAAATACCCCCACTCTAGCTTGTAATGATTCACTTTAGAAATTTAAATTGTTTATAGTGCTAATCTTTGCACTTAAGATTGAACATTAAAATATGTAGAAAAAGTGCGAAAAGATTGTCGCCGCTGTGGGAATCGAACCCACGTCTTCGGCATTCGCGCCTGACGCTCTAGCCACTGAGCATTTTTCTACATATTTTAATGTTCAATCTTAAGTGCAAAGATTAGCACTATAAACAATTTAAATTTCTAAAAAAGCAATGGCGACATCTCTCGTTCGAATTATCGTTGTAAAACGATATTCGAAGTTGTTTGTATGCTGGAAAGGATATAACAATAGATGGCGCCAAGCATTGCTTCAAATGCTAAGAAAACAATGTGGAAGAATGCGTTAAGATTTTCGTCGGTGTGGTAATCAGCCGTTTAGCTCAGTGGCTAGAGCGTCAGGCCGCGAATGCCGAAGACGTGGGTTCGATTCCCACAGCGGCGACAATCTTTTCGCACTTTTTCTACATATTTTAATGATTCACTTTAATTAATCTACAAACGACTGTCGTTATTCCTAGTTGATGTGATCAACTTGACAAGGACCTCGATTTATGTGCAATTGGTTCGGTGAAATGTGAATTTATGTAGATGTTTCCTTTCAGAGCCTCCAACAAACCCGACTCTCCCGTGTGGAGTGTGGACAAAGATATTCGGGATAAGGACACGATATGCAAACATGTGAACGGTAAGCAAAATAATATCAGTATTTACTACAATTAATAGCACGTATTAATATTTATGTTAACAGTCGCTCTGAACTATTTCGGTTTTTAAATTTTTTTGTATACGACAAGATTGTATAGGTTTGACTTGAGCTTGAGCATTAAGCGCCTACATCTGCATCGCCATTCACCATCGTATCGGAGAGCGGTCAAGCGCTGCCGAGTTTCTTATATATTAGAGAGATTTAGTGTGATAGTCAGAGAGAGAACAAAGTGTAAAAGATGAAAGATACATATCGTATGTATATCTTTCTTCTACCGCATGTAACGAAATGGACCTAAATGTGACGCGTCCTTGAAATTGCTAACTCCATTATTTATCGAATCAGTGCCTAGGATATTTTACTTCAAAAACTAATATTTAATTTAGCTGATGCGAACTCAAAGCAACTTTTAATGTAAGTAGTAGTCTGTTCTTTAGTGGTAATCTGTTCAGAAAACGAAATAGATGTCTCGTACACATTGCGTTCTAGGTTCTGTACCTTGGCATGCAACCTCCGTCGTCGATTCGGCGTGTTCCTTATTCTTTGTTTGCATTGGTCTGGAGTGCGGAAGGTCGGTCGGAGACAGCGTTCCGTGTTTTAAATCGTGACTAAACTTTTCACACGGTACCAATCCAGAAATACACCGCAGCCCTCGTGGCGTCCCCGCAGGTTATATTGGAGCAGGGTTGCGAATATTCTACTTTGCATACATCTGTACGCTTGTTCTTAATATTAATTAGATGGCTGTCATAGAGTTTGAGAGTTCATTGTCGCTGATCACCCACGCCGCTCCGATTAGTTGGAATAGTTGTTTCGCCTACGTTCAAATGAAATATCTTATTTGACTCTAGCATTTTTTATACAAATTGTCAGGCCATCAATTTTTTTAACATCGTTTTTTCTTACGGCCCGACGTGGACAATGTTTTGGAACACGCGGTTTCTTATTTGATGAATGCTGCCATTTTTTATCTATGTATCACATGGCACCAGTCCAATTCGTAAATTGCATCATAACGTTTGCGCGCGATTATAAATATCACGATCGGATAAACGAGATCTACGTAATGATGGAAGTAGTATTACATGTACACGAATTTTGGTCAGTCGATTGTTTTCTTTGTTTATTTAAACGACTCTTTCTAGCTTGTGTTTATAATTATTAGTGACTTAATTTTTGCCAATTCTTGCACCGCATCTGTTTTAACTTTTATTAGCTATCTGGTTATTGCCACATTGCCTAAATGTTATTGAATCTACTTTAAATGTTTGTTGGTTACGTTGCCAATAGGAATGCGTACTTGATTTGCGTCAAGCTAGTAGAGCATCCGATGTTGACTGATCAGTGATTGATGGCCACATTTTATACAGCCTAACATCGGTCCAAGGTTTATGATGCCCTTAAAACAGCTAACATTTTGCAAGTGAAGTCACTTCGTTTCGCAAATTGATCAGCCCCAGTAAGTAAGGTATCGATTTTTAAAAAGTTCGTTGCCTTAAAGCCTCTTATTGACTTCTAGGTCGCAGTGGTCGGATGTACTTCCTACCCAACCCCTTTCACACAAATCAAGCCTCTCATTTCTTTGTTTTTGTTATAAGGGAAAATCAATTTATTTTTTATTATATATTTTATTTTAAGATAAACTAACTACTAATTTTGTTTACCTGTTCAACTAACGTTAACCTGTTTAACTAAGCGATAATAATATTCCCAATATGTTTTTTCTTCCCGATGATGACACTCTGATTTACGCGTTTACGCCGCCACACCGGGTTTTGTAATAAACATACATATATTTTTATTCCCACCTACATTAGGAGTCGAGTGTTGTGAAGTGTAGCCGCCGCATTATGATAACACCTTTGACTATCGTGAACCTTCCGTTTTGAAAAAGCACACTCGACTTTCGTCATCGTCTCTTGACCAATAATCGTAAGAGTAATACGTTCACATACTTCGCTCAGGATAGAAGACACTTCCTAATTAAGGGAAGACGCAAACAATTTGAGGACATGGGCATTCGCACTTGTGACTCGTGAAAAAAAGCCATTCGGAGTAGAGTGTGAATGAGTAAACTGTTCATTAATTCCGCAAACTCGTGTTAGGCTGTAGACAAACAAACGATGTTGAATTAACGGATACGAATGCAAGTAAACAGCTCATTAATTCCGCAAACTCGTATAAGGCTGCAAACAAACAAACGACGCTGAATTAACGGCGGGCGCGGCCTTCCCGTATCTTCCGCACGAACTATAAATGTAGTGCGGAAGTGAGATGATACCCGCGCCACGATTGAACTCTACGTGTTGCATGACGATTTTTTCTCCAAAAACGATATCTTTTAGTGTACATATTAACGACGTAATAAAAATCGTATGCAGTCATGAGCCATTGGGGCTGGCGACAGCAATGCAAAAGTCTTTTTTATATAGATTAATTGTAGTTTCTAATGATGTAATTTCATAATAAGTAAATTAACAATCAATTTAATAACTTTAGTGTGTTTTTAACATATTGCTTTTTCAAGGCACTACGAATAAAAATGTACATTTCATGCGGTTTATTTATTGGTCAAAACATGAGAGGTTGCGCAAGTTCACTAAATATCCTACATACCGATCAATTAAATTAATAACAAATATACACTGATGTTTTTACACAGAGTATTTGTATTTATATAAATTAAATTGTTTTCATGTGCAATACTCTTACACTTATAACTACAGATACTTTTAAAATTAGCATGTCGGTGACGCGACCTTTAAGTTTTAACCCATCGAAATGATGCGAAATTGGCCTAAAGAAGTTCTCATTTAAAAAAAAGAGAAGCCTTCAATGTTAAGTTAAAGGTAACGTCAATTTATAAATGTTTTTCGTATAATAACTGAATTATCCATCGGAGTCAGTGTCCACGCAAAATTCTCTCTGTATTCAAACATTAGCTTCCTTATCACACGGAAAACAGTTGCGCGTCTTGCAATCATATTTTACACCTACTCTGCGATTTTTAAATATCAAATTGAACTGGTTCTGGCTAGACATCTGTATGTCGTATATCGTGATACATGATGCTGTTAACTTATGTAAATGCTCGAGTTTGTCTTTGCTAAGACGAATTCAACGTGAACAATGAATATAGTTGCAATATTTGTTTTAAAGAAACATGCTAATTAGCATTAACAATAGTTTTACCACCCGCTTTATGCGTTAATTCAAATAAGATGTGACTATTAGTACAATCAATTCATGTACGTCCTATAAATTGAACCCGTAATTTATTTTTTTAAACCACGTTCACATTAATTCTATCAAAAATACTTAACTATCTATCTCATTTATTACACCACAACACAATTAAATACTTTGGAGCGACGTAATACGCCTTGCACTCGTATTCCGTTTTCCTACTCAATCAACGTGAGTCAATTTTCGAGGAAATTAAGGTTCTCGATCGAAGGGCAAAGTACAATGGACCGGTTGGACACATGCTGCTAATTCTCGTACTCGCGTCGCAGTCATCCTCGCGAAGATGACGTACCGAAGGCCCCGGGCGGGTCAAAGAGATGATCGCCATTCGACGCGATAAGATCATCATCGGCATCAATCGATGCGGTGCCTTTGTGTCGTATAGATGTAACGGAATATTTTAAAATGCGGAATTGGTCCGTACGGCATCGCGAGCGCAGCCGGGCGCCGTCGCCAGTTGGCCGTCGACCGTCGTCGGTGGAGAGCGCGCGCTGGTGGGAGCGCTACGCCACTTCGCCATGCCTCCGACTGCAATGCTCGTGCCCTGTGCCTGTGCGTTCCTCTATCTCCGTTCGACACACACGAACCCGACGCTACAAACTAGCCACCCATCCCCTACCGAAACCGTAACTTTGCAATCGCAACCAGCCACTACTTCCGAAGCGAGGATATTCGTACAGTGCGATTATTGCGTGTTCAGTGTTTACTTTTATGCCCGCGGCATTGGGTAGTGTTCCGAATCGCATCGCCGAGGCCCGAAGATGTCAACATTGACATGTGTCGCGTTCCAACGCTGCGGACATTTGTTAAGAACTGTTTACGTTGTGAGTACGCATTCCGTACGCCCTTCATATGATTGTTTAACGATCTCTTTATTATGTCCCCGTGCCTGTTCACTCTCGGGTTCGCTTTTGGCGCGCATAAATTGAATCGTATATCTAGCGATTTTCGGACCGAACAGATGTGCTCTATGTCCGCTTACGAGCGGACAAGTGGGTGTATTATTTAGTTCGAGAAGTCGCCGACGTGTTTTTCGGCCCACGCGCTTTACACACATCAATCATTGCCCATGGGCGCACTCTTCAATGTTCACCTCAACGGAACACTTTCCAAATCAAGCCGTGCCGCGTCAGGGTCTACCATTAATAATAGCACACGCGACGCTTCCGCGTTCGGCAGCAAATCTGCATGATTTGCGTTATAATCAAGATTTATATTAAGGTTCGCCGTATTCATAAGGGTCAAACTCCGCACAGAACTCCGCGTGTGGTTAAACAAGATGTAGTGGTAGTAGCGCGGACGCGGCTCGCTCACGCGCTGTTGCGTGTAAGACCGCAGTACAATTGTTAGCAATTAACTGTACTTCTTTCGCGTGCCTCGATCCCATCTGAGAAATAAGGTCAACTAATCGTAGGAGCTTTGCTGTTAAGTTCTTCACATTATTCCAAAAGTTCTGTATAAATGTAAACATCTACAAATGTATTAAATTTGATTATAAAATGCTTTCATATTCCAACGGGCCGTGATCTAACGTTAGGACGGAACGCGTGGGCTTCAGGCACGTGATTACGTATACAAATCTCCGTATCTAGGTATATCGTAATAATAACTTTATCTCGCCCTCTTTCATCGAGTTTGTTTTGAAACTTTACGTGCTAATTTTGGATTGTTAATGCGCCGAAGCTTAAAATCGATGTGTTGTATCAGTGATGGATGTATTCCAAATTCAGTCGGAACATTAAGCCGTGAATACGTATTCTTTAAGTGATGTCACTGGAAGTGTCAATGACCGCAAAAAAACCGTTCCATTGTCACTGATGTCATTTTCAGGATATTAATGAGCAACTGTAGACTTTTACGCGGATTACTATTCCCTTGGGACTTAGAATTGCTAGGCGATTGTATAGTTTGAATAATAAACCGTTTCTGTTACATGACTTAAAATTTATAAATTCCAACTGTGTTCCATTATAAAATATTGAAAATGAACTTGTCACGAATATTGATTTATTAGCCTTATTATCATTGTAATACGTACGAATTCTTTATATTATATTAAATATGTAGTAGAATTATATTAACATAAATTCCATACATTAATCAGTTCTTTGTAAACGTATATTTATTTAATATTTATAACAATTTTAAACATATAAATCATACATTGTGTGTGGTTAAGTTTTTCATAAAAATCATTCCATTCAAGGTGATGTGTTTCTCTACCTGTCCACTTGGACTAAATTATTAACTTGTTCTTTCTTATTAACTTCCTCGTCTTTGGTTTGCATTACGTTTAAAAAAATACAACTCTTTAAAGTATTTTAAAGTCCGTGCAAGTGGCTGGAAAGTGATTAACTATTGCACTATACATTGAACTTTAGATCTTTAAGAATTACAGGTACGCAATCCGGCGCGTACTAGGTACAATGTATATTTTGATAGTATCACAGCGATGATAATTAACAAGAAACACAATCGGCCCTTTTTGTATTATTAACTTAACACCATGGCGTTGTTAGGCTGGGCAGTATATGTATTGGTAACATATTGGATATAGTTTTCAAGGCGTGCAAAGTTTTCATTTCAATCAAATAGCAAGATACCGCTGATTTTAATGAATACCGAAATTGTGGTTCCGTTTGTTGGCCAAAAGCATTTCCTTAAAGAAGGAGTCTTTTTTTAACACAACAAAAATATTTGTGTAAATACATTGCCCAATTGAATTTCATTAAGGACTTTTTACCGTTAGAGTTTTAGTTTCTATTCAATACGATCGATCGGCACATATTTAAGCATACATATATCAATAATCTTACTTTCTGTGTAAACCCTTAATGTCATTGTTGAAAAAGGCAAATCTAAACCTATTCACCGCAGGTTATTTGGATCGAACAGTGGATCAGACACACGGTGAATAAGGCCGATAAAGATTTATATTTGCGAGAGAACTTCTACTGTAGCATGTGAATTTTTAAAATATTTTGTTTTATTTAAAATAAATTGTCGGAAAAGTTTTCGCCACTGCGGGAACCGAATCTGCGTCGTAGTGGTAAAGCGCCCAGACACTGTTACCAACTAAGCTAAGCGGCCGATACCCCACGATGCTAAAATCTCGATATCTATTTCCTTATTTTTATGTGCGAATGTGGCAAGCGAGTAGGCGGTTCACCTGATGTTACGTGATAAGGTTTTAACCGTAGAGTTGCAGATGCGTTGCCAGCCGTTAATAAAATGAACATCGGCTGCCTTACTCACTGGACTAAACGCAGAAGTATAACACTTCCAGTTTACGCCGGCCTTCTGTGTTCGTAGTACCCACGCTTCTTTAACAATTTTTACCAAGGCATGCTGTTAAGTATATGTAGACACTAGGTTGCGAGAAACATTGATAGGGGTCCTGTATTGGTTTAGGGAATGTTTTATGTGATATGTACTATGGCGCAGGCAGCGAGGCGTCGCCACCGCCATGCGAGGTGTTCCTGGGCGGCTCCTGCAACCCCACCACCTGGAGGTCGGATATTGCCATTCCAATGCTGAAGAAAATGGGCATTACCTACTTCAATCCGGTATGTTGCACAAGTTTTACATGATTACATGTTATTTGGACACGATTTTGAAAGATCCTTCCGAGGGGATTTTTGAAATGCTATCCTTGTGAATTTTCCGACCAGTATCGCGGTCAGTTGCCGAATGCTGATTGATTATTATCATTTACTTTTTATCTGTAGCAGCGTAACGTAAATTATCTCAGTATATATATTCAGATTGTCAATAGATTGTGCTTTTTGCATTATGCACGACTATATTTTTTTTAAGTGAAGCGAAGATACTGTTTTTTTTTTTGGTGCTTGAAAAACACTGCCATTACTGAATGGATAATATTATCCTGTGTTGTAAGGAAGTTTTACATACATAAATTTCACGTAGACAAACACCCTGATATAAACAATTCTCTGTGGGTCACACAAATAGTTGTCTCGTGTGGGAATCGAACCCACGACCCCCGACGCCGAAGCCAATACTTTAGCAAATTATTTAGCTATTTTTCAACAACAGTATCTTACTTTATCAGTACGATAATACTAATTAGTTTATTTGCTATTAATATTTTTTTTCCGGACATGAATAGTTCTAATTTATGGTTATTATAATGAGTAGTTAGAAATGTGAGTCATGTACCAATAACCGCGGATAAGAACCATTAAAAGTTATAACAAAATTAGGGATACGATGAATAAGACGCTCTTAAAAAGGAACAGCTAATATTTCGTCTGAATTCACTTTTCACCACAAATTTATCACAGGCCTTCGATATTGTAACTTGTCGTATGTTTATAAAAATGGATGTGATGTTCCCAAAATATTAATTCATATGATAGTTAAAGTTAATAACATTTAATTAAATAGATAATGAAAATGTACCAAATATTTTGATTATTTTCAACATTATTTTCTTATATTTAGAAATATAAATAAATACCTTCACTCACTAAATGTCACGTCCAACATTATACTTTTATAATTTATTCATCTCGACTGTGCTTTAAATGCGCTTCAATAAACATTTATCAATGCATCAAGGAAACTGTTTGATAACGTCCGCAGTGTCAGCTGCCTGTCATTGGTTATATATTTCGCTATATAGTCTGTACTCGACTATTTGCTTTGCTGGTGATAACACGAAATATTATGCTCGATGCATATTTATGTACGTTTCGTGTAGATAGTCTATGATAGACGAAAATGTTATGTCGTCGTGTTTTTTATTCGACATCAATATTTGACACTAAATTATAATAACTACATTCCACGGAGCGGAGTGTAATTTAAACAATATTATACGCTACGGTATCATAATAGGTGGACGCGTAGGCGGTAACCTTCCTATTTACGTTTAATTCGTATGAAACGTGATTTTTTTCGATCCAACTCTCGAGAATTGATTGGTCACGTCTTCGTATTTTCGAATGGGAGACTATCGGTAGATCGTTGCTATCGTAATCTCACTGTTCAATACACAGCTTTATATTTGTTACGAACGCTGATGTCATCTTAGTTTCAATGGTTCTCGTTAAACCAATTGGCTTATCGGCTACAGATCGCTGTATCGATTTTGAAACTACGAACAAGCCCAACACTGCAATATTTTATTTCATATTTAATCCGAATAAAAAAAGTGGTGGGTAGAAATATCATAATTTATACTTATATAATAAAAGATGTTTAATATAATAAAGGTTCTTATACCAAAACCACCAATGTTTAAGCTACACAATTTTATACAGTGCGATGGACTAAGATAATTCAAATGTTCATACTATAATATTAATATTATTAAAGTTCCAATCTGTCATTTAAAGTCATTGTCTTCGTTTACAGTAGTACATTGTAGAAATGATATATACGTTTGTGATAATAATAATGGTACGTTTTTCAAAACTAGAAACTGTTATGCTTATATTTAAAGAACTATTACCGTATGTATTAGTATTAGTTATTAGTAGGTGCAATAGTTTTGTCTGTTTTCGTATTCCCTGGCTTTATCGTTAAAACATTTTTCCAGTTAAAAAAAAAATGATGGGAAGATCTTATAGTTAATTTTTAATTGCTGGATAGATAAAGGAAATTGTCTCCGTAGCCTTTCTCATCTCAGTTTTAATATAGAGTGTATTTTATTTCCACAACGCTAAAGGCGCTTTATAGAATCTTGATAAATAGAAGGATATTAAATTACCAGATATTAGGTTGTCTTGTATACTAGCAACAAATATATATCAGTATGTTCTATTACTAACATTGACAACCTAATCAGATTAAACCTCGCATCTTCAAATATTAAATCCAATTGAATCTCGTTAAGAATCACGCTTAGGCACTATCACAACATGAACGCTCGCAACAACAGATTTTTTAAGTGAGAAGATGGCGAGTTGGCAGTTCACCTGATGTTAAGTGGGACACATAGGACATGACACATGGGCTGAAGATGCATTGCTATCTTTTAATAAAGAATCGGAAAGTCCGTCGAAATACGGTATAACCAATAACCAACCATCAATTAAACCGTTGGCTCGTATAAAAGAACCTCTTGTGTCAGCAAGTGGAGGACTGGTCCACGGAGCTGATGGAAGTCGAGCACCGCGCAAAGACCGCGGCGCGCGCTCTTCTGTTCGTGTTGGACAGCGAGACGCGCGCAGTGGCCGCCAGCGTGGAGGCGGCCCACCTCGCGGCCGCGCCCCGTGACCTCCTGCTGGTGCTGCGGCCCTACGCCCGACACCAGACCATCGGCGGCGAGACCATATCTGACCAGTGAGCATCTATGAATATATCAAATACAGCTTGTACTATGAATATCCCCCCTTTAAGGAACGCAGTTTGATCGCAGCTTATGCTATGAATATTCAGAGCTGGATTTAGGGGAGGGCAACCGGGGCTACACCCCCAGGGCCTCCACAGAAGAGGGGCCCCACAATTAAGACACAATAGAGATTATATGTTCGTTTTATAATAAAAGAGTCTCTATACTTGGTTTCACAATAAATTATGTATTGGAAAACAATTTGGGGCCAAGGGGCCTCCACTCCTTTGTTAACTAACGCGAGGCCTCCAAACCGCTAAATCCGGCCCTGTGAATATTTCCTCTTTAAGGAATGCAGTTTCATCGCAGCTTATGTTATGATTATTCCTCTTCTAAGTGACGCAGTTGGATCGCACCTTATACGAGCTGACCTTTATACAGAAATTTGCCAATGTCCAAAGCGTAGACCACGTTTTTGTCGCATGGGCCGGTGTTGAGGGATTTCCCGATTATCGTAACCCAGTCGGAACACACAAACAGAGATGAGCACCCAGTTTCTAATTTTTAAAGAACGGAAGTTGCCTTGTAGCCTGCGACATTCTAACCAATCAAAAACATGGGCATAACCTAGTCCAACACTCAACATGCAGAACCCCATAAGTAGACATTTGCACCGACTTTTTCTGTTTTATTAATGCGCTAGATGACCGTGAAATGAGCGTAAATTGATTTTTTTTCGTTTCGTTTGTCATTAAATTACGTAGCAGGAGCATCACTCTCCAGAAGTCGTTCTTCTGCAAAACTGCTAGTACTGAGGACGTCCATATACGTAAACATTTACCACCAGACGACTCCTTGCTCCTTTATAAGCGATCACTCCCAAGAGACCAACAACAGTTGTTACAATAAAATCGCTGAATAACTCACCTACGTCTAGTACGAATGCAACGTCCAAATAAATCCTCTTTGAATAAAATATTCTCGTTCATCATTTCGCCGGGGATAGCGTTGACACATAACTGTTCACCGCTTTCGCGAACAAAGCGGTCACGTGCGTGTCGCTGCATCATCAGGGGCGCGTCACTTCCTCACGCGTACACGCGCACAGACACACAAAACGGTCCACAAGGCTGGCCGTCGTCGGGCCACCGCCCTATTAATAACGCGAAATCACCCACAGGGAAGTGAATTAGGGCCGAGGTGGGGGGCACTTGGGCATGCGTCACGCCACTTCCCCGTCGTCAAATGTAGAGCAGCGATGACGCTCCATTGTTTCTCCATAGCGCCTAATAGGGTGCGGAATAAATTTGCTATCGACCAACTTACCTAAGCTCACCGATCGGTCGACAGTTTGGATGACGCGGCTAATATCATCGAGCCGTGTCATCGCCGCTGAAATTTTGCGCAGTTCCATTTGTAACTAGAATAGACAGATATATAGATAGTGAAAATGTACGGAGGGGTTCTATTACGTGTTTTGAAGTTATTTTTTTTCTTTAAGAAGAGACAGATCCAAAATTGTTTAATTTAAAGACTTAGTAATTAGGTTAAATGCATTAGTAATTGTTTTAAGTACATATTGTAATCACTCGAACGGTCCTCGATTTAACGGTCCTTCATGCTATATGTATGTTTTAGTGCACATGTTTGATATTACATATTACGTTTTCTGATGTGTTACAAATACAAGAATCTCCCACGGCTCTTTACCACACTATGGTAGACAGGGTATTTATGATTTATCGGGCTTGCGAAGAGTAGTTGCAAAGATCTCTAGTGGCAGCTGGTGGACTACCATCCAACAAGGTTATATCGATGGTATTTAGTATATTGCAGTGTTGATCGTTTATGAAACTCAGTAGCAGCATGTCCCGAAAATTTATTCCAAGCGGGTCTCGAGTTAGACGCCATATAGGATGGCCGCTGACCCATACCGGGCCCGAATAAAATTCGACAATAGAATTGGATATCGTACGAATCGTGTCGCAATTGAATAGGGAAGATAACTCTGCCGGTGGCGGATTACAGGGAGTACGTGGAGCTGTCGCGGGCACGCGCTACCCTCCAAGAGGCGGTCGAGCGCCGCGGGCTGCCCGCGTTCGCGGACATCCCTGCAGCGCTGCGCTGCGCCCGCGCTGTGCTGCGAGGCGCGCGCACCCAGCCCCGCCACTCGCTCGGCCACACCATCCTGCGGCTGAAGCGCGCCTTCGACGCGGCCGGCGGGCGGGGCGCCGCGCTCCCCCGCCCGCGCGCCCTCGACGCTCTACGGGAGGCGACGCGCGCGCCCCCCCACCTCGCCGAGCGCGCCCTCCCGCGGGGCGAACTCGTCGACTTCGAGGCGTTCTGCGCTGCTGTCGCCGAGCTCGCCGCGGATGCTGGTCAGTACCAAAGTGTAGAAGTTTGTGGCGCTTAAAGCCAATTTCGTGTTTCGTTAGTCCTCTAAGGGCAGTTTTAGAATTGTTTCTCCTTCTCACTATACTCATGAGTGATAGATGTGCGTCACTATGCCTCCCCGTAAAACACATAAGTGCGACAGAGAGCGCAACAAGCGATATTCTGTTTGCATGTTATTACCCCGCGGGCAGCGAGTGTTCGAGATTATTACAATTTGTGAGGCAGCTAGTTATTTATATACGAAGTATGTTTCATGCTTTATTTAAATAGTTGGTAAACACAAAATCATAGATAACTGTTTGACGAACCGTCAATTTGTGCCGCAGCCCGTGCATATGAATTGTTAACATATTGTAAAAAGCGCACGTAAAATATTACGGGACTATTCAACCTGTGCAATTCAACTCACACTTGTAGGCTGGTGATGTTCGAAACGTTAATTCTCTTAGAGCCCCCTCAATTGCCTCACACGTGTTTCATACATGCAAATCGAGTAGACCACACCCAGTTGGTATAATGTCGGTGGGTAAGGATGGTGTCTGCGTAGGAGTGCCGCGCGGTAGCGGCGGCGTGGTGGCGCAAGTGCGTCGGGCTTTCCGCTCGCTGCGGGCTCGTCTCGCGGCCGCCATGCCCGGTGCGTCCAGCGCGCACGCACTTGCTTAGCCTCACCCACCAGTCGCCACTCCCCTCCGTTACGTATCACACTTCATGAGTGCACCCAAGATCATCCCACGTGTTCCATCTTTTCCGTAGATGTAGGGAAACTGTTACTTTAGTATAATATAGTATTGTAAAATGTTCGTTGAAGAGTTGTAGAACCGACTCCGTGCTGTGCATGTCCAGGAGTCAGTGCTTCATTGAAAATTTTGACTTATTTTCAAACATTATGTCATGTGTCAACCAAACATTTTTATTAGTGTGCAGGACTTGAGTCTTCATTAGCCTTCATCGCTGTAAATAGCCCAATCATACCCCCATTGTCCACTTTGGCGCGTGAGATTTGTTTTCAGCTGTTAATATACAACGCGGATGTTTTTCTGTTACGCTTATTTATATCTTTCTATTTTTTATGTGTCTGAATCAACTTCCGTCGCGGTGCTAATGTCCGCTTTTAATTCGTTCGGTCGTTTCGCCCCCAGCAGAGAGTCAAAGTCGGAACGGTCAGGAAGAGGTCACGAGGCTGGCGGAGGACGAGGTGGATCGCGTGACGGAAGGCGCTGAGAGGCCGCGAGAGGCCAACGGTCTGCTCGTGCACAACCCGCGCCTGAGGGCGTACGGGCGGAAGCTCGGATTATTCATTCCTAAGGTAACTAATTACTCATCACCGCGTATGCACCAAATGTGTTTACTCATCGTGCGTGTGTGATATTTACTCATCGTCTTTCTAATATGCTGTTCATGACGCAGATCATTGTTTGTTGTGTTTGTACCGCACATTTGCGCATTTATTACGGGAAGCAGGTGTGTGGCTTATGAATAGAAATGCATTTATTACTTATTGTTTACTTTAATATTGTTTTTGTTCATGCTTTATTAAAAGAGTACTTTTAAAATTTTACGGTAACCAGTAACATTTACTTTTTAATGGTATATAGTGTTCGATTTTTATCGATGCCGCTAAAACGCTTCTTTAGATTTCAAATTATGATTTATTATAGATAAACGAAGAAAAACTTTCGCCGCTGCGGGATTCGAACCCAAATGGCCGACGATCTCACGACGCGAAAATGTCGACATCTGTCTACGTTCCTCTCATTGCATTTTTAGCAATGCCTGACTTCATTAAAGTTTCACCTTGAGGGCAGAGAAAAAACAAAAATAATCCTAAAAGCTTCTCTAGATTCCAAATTTATGTGCAATCGTTTTAAGAATTTATTATAAGGTATTTAGAAATAAATAGTGCAATGTGTCGTGCGGGGAAGGCGGCAGTCGAATTTTGAAGGATATCACGCTCTAGCGATGTTCATACACTTACTGGCCACCAAGTGCCATAAAACATAAAATAAAGTAATAGTAAAATCCGTCTACGCGCCAGAACGGCGGCAGTCGGACGCCGGAGGGGTCGGGGGGCGCCACCGGCGGCAGCGGGGGCGGCGACGACGTCCTCACGCCGGGCACCGAGCGCCGCCTGGAGCGGTTGCCGGCGATGCTCGCCGCTCACGCGCACCACGTGTACCTCGGCGGCGCTTTCCCGGTGAGTAATAAATAATAAAATATCTTTATTCACATAGACGCTTGCGCGTTCTTATGAAACGTCGAAATTTTACAAGGAAATTAATTAATATGTTCGTAAGTTACCACCGGTTCGGAAAGCAGTTTCTGTTGAGAAGAAACCGGCAAGTAACTCAACAGTTGCTCTTTTTTTAAAAGGTCAGCTTACAATATAATGTTACAGATATAATAGTCTTGGCCTACGTGAGTATCAACAGTATTAACCCCACACATTGGCGTCGTCAAGATATTCAGCAATAGTATAGTATGCTTTAGCCATAAGTTTACTTTTAACTTTTCGTTTAAATTCATCAAGTGGCAGACTTAATATCGACTGTGGGATTTTACTATACATGCCATGAGTGTCGCCTTCAATCGATTTGTTTTTTCGAAGTGAAACTTCCGCGACTTCCAACAGGGTTGCGTCAAACGTTTGACGCTACCATGGAGGAGGTATGAAAGCACTGTCGCGTTAAACGTTCAACGCTCCTGGGGAGGGGGAATAGAAAGAGGCGGAGCGAGAGTGAATGCGTGGCACTCGAAGTTTCACTTCTTCCGCGCAGAGGGACTCCACGCACTATTATATATATTTTTTTTACCAGTGTTCCACTGACATGTTGTGATCAAGTAATGTTATTTTAATCTTATTCTTTATAACTTTTTCTGTTCTTTTCCAAAGATTATTAGGTATTATTACCACTGGAAATGGCTGATGGGCCAAATACTCGACAGGAATAATTACTGTGTCCACTTTGTCATTGATATTACCGTATAATGTAACTTAAACAACCCGGCTTACTGTATAATAATGAGCGACATTATGAAGGCACGAACATAAATCACGACAACATTACTTGTAATCGCTTTGTAAACAGTAAATTTGCCTTCGGCTACCAAACCCTGTTTGTTTTATAATACAGTAGTATTTCTACGTTTTAAACCAGTCCGTTGTTAATTTATAAAGGCTATGCCAAATAATGTTCTGGTTTGATTTGTTATATAATACCAAAATGATAGTTATTATATTTCAATAAATTTTAAGGACGATAGCCGATTCTGTAAACGGGCTTTACCTAAACATTTCCCAAACTAGATAACATTTTAAAGAAGTTAAGATCTAGAATTTGTATTTATTTATTTTGATCATAGCTAACAATTTATTTTTCTTTAGTTTACTCTTGACTTAGCGTAGTTTACTCATGATTTCATTGAAAGGAGAAAAACGGAGACAGAGAGAATTTGAATAAGGAAATATCGATGTGAGACCTAAAGGCTCAACATCGATGTTTACCTAGCAGCTTTACGACGTGTCTGTGCTCCGCCCGCAGGCCAGCGGCCCCCGGCCCGAGGAGGTGCTGCGCCGCGAGGGCTTCACGTACGTGGTGCCGCGCGCGAACGACTACACGCGGATGTTCTCGGCGCCCGCGCGGCGGGCCGCCTCCTCGCGCCCCGAATCGCCCTGCGACAAGAAGCCGCGCCCCGCCTCCGCCCACCTCTCGGTGCGTACCCCGCGCGACACTGACTGCGCGGCTGGGCTATAATGCTCAGCTCGTACTGCGTACGGGATGGCGGATGGGCCAGCTACTTCAGCTGCGGTTGGGCCACGCGGCCACTTCTGCTGTTGCACGAATGGCCGGATTCGCGCTCACCCCTTGATTTAACTGCGCTTGGCGCAGCCACCTGTTGCGATAATGGGCAGGCCCGTCCGGGGATGTACCTCGGTTTCATAGAACGCCGGCGTGAGCTGGAAGTGATATTATTACCTAGTATCGAACACACGATGCCCGTTGTGCTGCCCAGCCTCCGAGGCGACAGTGTGTGGCGTGTGTACAAGTGCACAGAGAGAGCAACAGGCGGCGTCCTGCTTCCAAGTCTTATTACCCCGCGGGCAACGAGTGTTTGACATTAGTATAACACGTCTCGTCTGGCGAGTGAAGCAGCCGAGGCCGGTTTTCTTGAAGGTCGGCAACGAATGTGCAGTTTCAGGGGCGCGCGGCGGTCATCACTTAACATTAGGCCTAAACCGCCTGCACAGAACTTTTCTATTTCGACTCGCGAACGCCGACCTGGCGAGTGCAATAATGGTGCAACAAACTGTCCCAGTAGCCCGTGTCGCCGGGCGAGGAGGCGGTGCAGCTGCGCGAGCGCTCCGCGGGCGCGGAGGCGGCAGACCGCCTCAGCGCCTCAGACTTCTACGCGGTCAGCGAGGACGTCACGCCGCAGCCGTTCAAAGGTCACTTTTTTTTTAATAAAGATTTTATCGTCTGGTAACAATCAAAGGTCCCTATTAAGAATTGTAGGGATATCGAAAAAAATATCTCTATTTTCAGCCGATATATTGATACAAAATATTCAATATCGAATATCGTATCAAAAACGATATTTTTCAAATTCGAATCCGGCCCAGTCCGTAGATGTCAAATGTTTAAATACTTGACATACCTACTTATTTATTTTTTTGTACATAGCGGGTTAGTTATGAACGAATGAGATGCATTCTTACAAGGAACGTGTAGAGAGGAAAAATGACACAATATTTATCTTTATTTGGCGAAATGGCTTTATTGTGGCTTTTAATACATAGACTATTAAGCTTCATCAAAAGCAATACAGATGTCACGGGCATGATACGGCCCTCGGATTATAAGACCCTGTGTGCCGTAAATATTAGAGGAGGACTTGTCACTTCCGGGCCCTTTGGGTTCGGTACGGATCAATATTGGGCCGTTGACTGGGGTGGTACATTAAATGTTTGTTACTATGAGATTCATACTTTTACATACTAGTCCCTAACTAGGCAAAGCTCATACTATAGGTACCAGGTAACTGATACGTGAACATACTTTTATAATAGAAGTAATACATATTATAGATATATAATATATATAAACACCAAGACACTAGATAAACATGTTCATCACAAAATATTTTCCCGGTAGTTGCGAGCGAACACACACCCTCGTTCGCGCGAGACGTACTCATGTCCACTATCCATTACGCCGATGGGCCCGTCAATAAAACAATTTATTTTAACCACGCAACAGCTTAGGTTGTTGCACAAATGGGAAAGTCTGTCCGGGTAAGTATACCACGACCTCACAGAAAATCGGCGTTAAGCGTTTCGTCTGGTGGGTGTGGTAGCACGCATCTGTGTGTCAAATGTCCATGAGCGGCTCGGTTGCCACTTCACTACATAGTATAAAACAAATTCGTCCCGCTGTCTGCCTGTCCCTATGTATGCTTAGATCTTTAAAAGTACGCATCATCATGATGCGGCTTTTTACTAGATAGAGTGATTCAAGAGGAAGGAAGTTAAAAAAAATCTATTTCCCCTCCGCAGGCACTTACGACGAGGAGCTGCTGCTGGGCTCGCGAGTGCTGGTGTTCTCGATGAGCGCGGAGGCGCCCTGCTTCGCGACGATGGTGCTGGCCGCCCACTACATGGGGCTGCGGCCCCACGCCACGGTGTTGCTCGTGCAGCCGATGGACCCTAGCGGCGCGCACCCGGTTAGTGCTGCACCCAAATTTTGGACGGACGACGACGGACACACTGACTTGAGGGCTGTGTCCAGAAAGGGCAATGGAACCCCGGGGATCCTATAGACTGTTTAGGGAAAATTCACTCGTTTTTTTGTGCACTGTTTCAACGGTGATGCCTATTGTTGATGGTCTGTAGTTGTCGATTAAGTCACCATGACATCTGAAATTATTATGTAGTTTTGGATGGAAATAAAACAAAACGTTCATAACCTATGCATAGGTATGAATAATACGAATATTATATATTTAAATAGGTAAAGAGGGTAAGTATTTATTTATAAAAGGTACCTTATTATGAAGTATAAGGTTTTACAGTCTACCTCGCTATCTTTTATTTAAACAAATTGTCAAAAAATGTCAACATAAGCTAACTTAAGCTCTGAAATGGTCTTCGAATCATTCAATATGTTGAAGAATTATGGATTATGGCACACCGACAAAGAGACACCTTTGAGAAATAATTAATTTATATCAATAAATATTGACAATCAGTTATTCGAGAATGATGACGATTTCGCATTCTGTTCGTACACAGTACAGCGAGGCGGCCGTGAAGGACTACAACCGGGGGCGGCACTACCTATTGGACCTGGCGCGGCGCTCCACGATCCCCGTCTTCGACAACGTGGAGGCGGCGATGGCGTGCGTCGTGCGCCGCCTCAGGACCGAACTGTAGCCCTCAGTGCCAACCCTAATAAATCGACATGGTGAACCCATTCGCTGTAACCCACATAAAGGATACTGTAGCCGTCAGTGGCAACCCTAATATATCGACGTTATAAACCCATTCGCTGTAACCCACTTGAAGGATAGCGATAAATAAGCTGCAGTTGCGATTTTTGGTTTAGAAGCTTTTATTTTTTATTGAAACAGTTTTCGGCTCTTAATATCGCTAGTTTTTGTCCGGTTACAGCAAATCGGTAAGGTCTTACGTCGATATGAACAGATGCATCACACCGACGCGAAATACCGCATCCATGGGTGAAGGCGTTAACGCTCCGCGGGCATGTATTGGTCCTTGCATTAACAGCATTTGAAGAACACACGCCACACGCCATACGCAGAGATCGAGGATTGATGCCAAACGTTCCACGTCTATGTGAATCTCATTCGCTATCCGTTCCGTGCGCAGGTGATCGATTCCGCGCAACTCCATAGTACTGTTATCACAAAGAATTGAAGACATCACAAATTTGAAACATCATAACGACTGTAAGCGGACCGTTCACGCGTCAAGGAGTCTCATATACATGTACTTATTTCTAGCGTGTTGTTGTTTGAAAAGTTTTAGCGTAGTACAAACAAGTCTCTCTTTTTATTTCGTCACTCTCTATTGTATTATATTTGATATAATATATAGACACTAATTATTAAACAAACCTTTACTAAGAATGCGTGAGGCCAGAATGGATGGTGACGGCGGAAAGGTTGTCTTTATCAATAAACAACTCCAGTATATCTCTGTGATGAATACTGTAGGAAATCTTTTATGTTTATTAATGTTGCAAGCATTATTTGGTAGTGAAATAAAATTCGTAAAAGTATCACAGATATAAAAAGTTAAATTTTACAGAAACTATACATGACAAATGCACAATTCAGTATACACCTGGTGTTGCATCAAGTACATTTCACATAATTTCCAGTTCTACCTGCAACCAGTTTACAAAGATCGATATACACATATATATGAATATAGTTTGTAATGTTTATTGAAAATTTTCTTTATAAAAATGAGACACGTAGTGGGTCTTAGAGACAATTAAAAATGAATCTTTTAGTGTAGTTATTGGCATAGTGCTATTAAACTAAATGATGAACTGTAAAAATTGGTTTGGTAACATGAAGAGTACAAATGTGTTGCTCACGTAGCGAGTTTAAGAACGTTCGGTATATTTTATTTCAGCGATAATATTACAAATGTAACATTTAATCGTTATATTATACTCATTTTAGCTATAACGAAATTTTTAGCCTCTAAAAGATTTTAATACGCTACAATAAAATGCGGCAACGCTTGCAAACTTTAATACGTCGATCAGGCTTTAAAAGCCTCGATTCCATACCTAAACTAGGTATAGTTAATATTAGATAATGTAAGTTTTAAATAAATCCTGACCCACTGTCGCTAAAATTATTACAATTTTTATATAACTTAATCAGCAAATGTTATTTGCTAGTCACTCTCTCCGTTAACAATTTTATAAGTACTTCGTAATATTGTTTGATAGTACAAAATCTAATTTATAGTGAAAATGTCATTATTAATTGTAATTTTATGCCATGTACGCTTATTTTAAACTAAAACATCACATGTAAATAGAAAAATTTGTAATAATAACGAAGGGTTTTATTTCCTTGCATCCTTATAGCTCGCCGATATGGTTCAGGTTTTAATGTGTCACGTCTGATTCAAATTAGTAGTACGTGATTAAAAATAGAATTTCCATTCAAACATTTGATAAAACAACCTGATTTTTTGTAGGATCTATTAATTTGGATCTTGGAACAGAATACATAATTGCATAAAACACAGGTATCTACCACATTAAATCTTTAATTAGGTCACATCAAAAAAGTAGGGGTGTCCACTTGATACTTGTTGACTTACGGAAAAAGGAATAGGTTGAAACATTATATTTATTTATTTATTCAAATTGAAATTTAAGGAAATAATAAGAACTTTCCTGGTGTGGATTAGAAAATTTCTACTGGTTTAACTTGTTTCATGCTGGTTTGACGGCAATATATTTGAAGACTGGGTGAAAATTATGGTTCTTAAATAAAAAGTAAAAGTAAAGTAATAGCCTTTAAATGTCCCACTGCTGGGCAAAGTCCTCCTCTGTAAAGAGGGTATCAGGGCATAGTCCACCACGCGACCTTTACTGCGGATTGGCGGACTTCACATATTTTGAAATATTTTTTTTATTATTTCGAATGCAGGTTTCCTCACGATGTTTTCCTTTACCGCCGAGCATGTGATAAGTCAGCACTTAAAATTAACAATTTCATTGGTGCTGGCACCGGGGATCGTACTCGTGTTGCTCGAGTAAATTGAAATAAAGGCGAGCGCCCGGACACTGAGCTATCACGGCTCTTTAATACTTCAGCAATAAAGTTTGAAAAAATATTGATAGGAGACAACCTTTCTTGGCATCTATCATTAGATATCATACGAAAATGTCAAGAGTACAATGTACATTTTGTTTTTCTTCCACCAAATTTAACCCACCTGAAACAGTCACTCGATGTAACCTATGAAAATTTCGTGGCGTGACATTATATCCACATGGAAAAAACTGAGGGCCGGATACTGCCCACAATACCGAAGAATATATTTCCTAAATTACTTAAGAAAGTGTTATAAAAAACGGAACCAAATATAAAACAAATCATTTTAGACGGATTTATGAAATCTGGAATAAACACCCTGAATAAATAAGTAGTACACAAGAAATAACAAAAGTCACGAATTTAGTATGGAAAAAAAGGAATTGATGAAGCAGTTCTTATCATTATTAAAAGAAATGCGATATAAAGATATACAAGAATTGTTCCCATGTAGGCAACACACTCCTAGAAAAAGTATTTAGTTGAGGTGAATGTGAAAGCACCTTGGATGATAAAAAAATTGTTGCTATTTCGGTTTTCCACTACTACTACCCCTTGCAACGGCGATCGAAACGGGGTATTTGTATTTTGTGGGGTTCCGCTGGAACCGACGTTATGTAAGTTAGAGGGGCGAATCCGTGGAGATGATGGTGGGGTACATTGTCTGCGCGCTAGAACATGCAACAATTTCGTCGCTGTGGCTATCAGCCGTTTAGCTCAGTGGCTAGAGCGTCAGGCCGCGAATGCCGAAGACGTGGGTTCGATTCCCACAGCGGCGACAATCTTTTCGTACTTTTTCTATATGTTTTAATGTTCAATCTTAAGTGCAGAGATTAGCACTATAAAAAACTTTAAGGGTCTTTAATTTTTGACGGATGTTGCGGTCACCAATATGTTGAAAAAATATTTCAAAATTAGTCTTTCTATCGAGCTGGTGGATAATACATTTAGGAAAAGACCATTCAAGCATATGTCAAATTTTGTTTAACAAAGAAAAATAAAGTTCAGGAGACTAATGCATCATGAGTATAAGATGGTATTCGTAGTGCCAGAAGAAATTCGATATCAGAGACTGGGTGACCCCTACTGAAAAAAACACTTTTAAAAGGTGTCGCTACTGTAGTAATAAAGAAAGACAGAAACAAGAAATCGAAGATAGAATGCAGTAGGTGTTGTGGCACTATTGCTTCAAGCAATTTCATGAAACACGGGTTGTGTTAGAATGCTATCGTAGCACCTAGACAAGTGGTGTCAAAACTTTGCCATCGCGTTTTTCTAACGACCTACCTAAAATGACTCCACAAAATGAGTTCTTATTTATTTACCAATGAATATTGCTTCTAACAGCTAAAGGATTTATAAGTTTCATATAGCTAAGAACTAAAATTGCGGATATGACCACTCAAACAATACTACGGCATATGTAAATGTTGTGTGTTAAAAAATATAAATGTTGTTCAAAGGTATAAATAAAAACATTAATTCCAACAAATATTTTCATGTTAAAATAGTTTCCCGAAAAACTACGTCTGTTACTATGCGGGTGCCCACTGCATCTTGAAAAGAATAAAACAATGAGTTGATAGTCCACTATACACATAACTTTAAATAAATATATATATCCATCGTATTTGATATACTTATAGTATATCAAAATACTGTCATCTTTTTTTTGTCTTTTCGTTGTCTTTGCTCGCTTTCAATCCGCTGTTCCCTACTTTTTAGAGTATCTAATTCTTTTGTTTTTTCGGCGATTTGACTTTTTAAATTTAAATATATACTTGTCCCTGCAGGATACCTAGATAGAGACTGATTTAATTTAACAATCTCCTGCTCAAGTTTTATGCAATCTTGCGTAATTTTAAACTGTTCTATATTTAATTCTTTATTACTTGACTGCTTATAGTCCGTTGTTTGACTTCCTGATGAAGATTCTGGGTTGATATTTGTGTCACCTAAAGTTCTGTTGAGGAAATTAAAAACGTTTCTTCTTTCACGTTCTTTCTCGCGTTCATAAGCTCGCTTATTTCTATCTTCTTCTCTTCTCTGTAGTCTTTTCAGCTTCTGCCCCACCTGTCATAAAAGATGGTATAAAAATGCAAATATCAGGTAACGACTCTAATTATATTATATGGTGTTCGAAAGCCTTATAATTACTACCTAAGACCCCGCTGTCTGTTTGTCTGTCCGTCCTTTTTTGCCGTTTTTATAGATAATGGTACGGAACCCTTCGTGCGCGAGACCTACTCGCACATGGCCGATTCTTTTTATACAATAACGTGTATACCAGTTTTTTTGCAAGAAAACGGTAAAAACAAGTAGAAGCTATAATTATAATTATGCTACTTGCCACGTCTTCCTTAGCAAACCTGTGTAAAATATTTTTCTTACATAAAAAATTAATATGTACTATATTACACAAAAAAAAATTAATCTTATACAGATTTATTATCTTATACTTCTTCACTTTTTGGAATAATATATTGGAATGAATAGTTTATAAATAGATACTAGATAGTTTATAAATAGATACTAGGACAGCTCTTATTCAAAAGTTGGACATAATGTTTAATCCAGAGTAAAATCATTACTTATCGTATGCTCATAGCACAAGACGTTTTTTATATGTTCTGTATGAATTTAATAAACTAAAACAAGTCTTTAAAGAATCTAAAAAATGTATTAAACATTTAATGATGAAGTCTCTTTAAAAAATTTTGAATTCAATAAGTTGAGAGAAGTCTTTTAAAAACGTTAAATTTAATAAGTTAACCTTGATGGGGTCCTTGGAGGCGAGTCTTCGCGAGATGTCCATGCAATGGTCGAGGCCGCGGCCGACGGGCAGTACTTGGGCCTCAACCGGCTGTATCCTGCCGTCTCCTGCAGCTCCCAACCCGGTGCCGGGCACATAGCCCATAGACAGCATCAACTTCGACCCGATACCCTGCCGAAACCATTGCTTACACCTACTAAACTTAAACCTTTATAATTACATATGATTTGCTCCTCTTACTCTTGCGTTATGATCAAAATGTTTACAAGCAATATACAATACATAATTTTGACTTTGACTTTAAATAAAAAGTTAGGTAAATTCTTTATTACAAGGAAACTTTCATAATGCTTAATACTTAACTTTAATCAATCTGTTAAAACATAGTTGAAACAGTGTTTATACTATTTGCTCTCTACTTTGGCTAAGAGAGAAAACAAATAATGTGTTGAAATAGTTAACTCAGTGCTTTATTATTGTGCTTAATTTGTTTAAAGTTAGATTTTAAAAGAAGAAAAGAATTGGGCAGAGAAACTAAGAGGGCAATAAAAATACTCCTAACATACAACTATTTAGTGCACTAACTACATTTTAACCAAAAAATGTATTTCCAAATGTTTATAATGATAATTAAAAAAGATCTTTAGATACATACTCACTCTTGTATGCCTTTCCCATTCGCCTATGGCCGGGCCACTATTTTGTGGAATCTTTTCAACCAATAAATCGCACTTCTCACTGTCTCCATCCAAATGACATGATTTACTTTCTGGATACTCTGTGTCACTAAGGCTATCATCAGATTTGTAATCTTCGGTGTTTTCAGCTATAGAAAAATATTTGTTCTTATTAATTATTTCATTTCCTTTATTTACAGTTAAATGTTAGAATTTAGTAGTAGGTGGCATGATCATTGTCTCACTTTATTTATCTAGTCTAGGTTATTTATCACCATCTCTTAAAAAAAGATTACCAAATATTATACTTACAACTAAGGGGAAAGATTTCTTCAAATGATAAATAGAACTCTTCTGCTACAATTTTTCTCTTTTCTCCACTACTCAATCCATGTTCTAACTTGACTATACAAGTTTTTGTCTCAAAATCTACACTTTTTACAACAGCTAAGTGCCACAAATTATATTTTTCTATGCTTTTCTTTACCAAATTGACATTCTAAAATATAATTTTTGTAATTAATTGTTTCATAGAAAATAGTTCCATGGAACTTTAACATTTACATCATTAAACTTTTGTCTTACCTCATTGTCTGGTGGTTTCAACTTGAACAATATTCTACTTCCCACTTTTATAGCCTCAAAATTGGGTTCTATTGCTTCTTTTAAAATTGACAATTTAACTACTGAGCCATGAGAATACCTGAAAAAAGATTAGCTCTGATTAGAATTCATTTCAAACTGTCATTTACTTTTGGCTTATTAGGAGAATTTGTAGACTATGTGACATTTAAAAATTAACATCACTATGAAACAAGCACTAGAAACTGATAATTAATCATTTTGTTCACTCACCTACATTGATCATCAGTGAATTTGCATTCACCATCAAGAAAGTATGGACATGGCAGCATTTCTGCATGAGTTGGATGTGTGAATAAGACACGGACCTGAAAAAATATCAATTACAAATAACTGAAATAAACTTTGAAATATGATTTATTTAATTTACAGTTCCTTCACTTTGTTCAATTAACCAAATTATGCAAAAATCTATCTTACTTTATTAGAATATATTATTAAAAATCAATATTGTTCCAGAATACCATAACCATAATTGTACCAAATACTGCATTCACATTTTTGAAGTTAATAAATGAGTAGGAAGATACCTTATAATAAAGTTGAGAAAACTAATTAAATAAATGGGTTTTAATACAGAGTACCTGGAGGACCAGTTTTTTTTTTCGGTAAATCATGTATTTTGGAAATAAAAAAAATAAAGAAAAAGATCTGGTATAGAAAAAAAAATGTGTGTAAATGATCGTGATACGAACCGCGGCCGTCTATTTTAGGGGCGCCCGATCACCGACCGAGCTATTATAACATTTCTTTTTGCGGCGAAATTTACATTTTCTACGCATATACTAATTTGCATGAAAATCGCTGGAGCCGTTTCCGAGATTCCGATTATATATATACAAGAATTGCTTGTTTAAGGTAAGGATAAGATAAGATATATAAAAACACATGTGAATTAAATGTGTTGAAAAAGGATGGATTGCTTTTTCTTGGTTCTATAGTTGACTTGAGTTTGATCCTATCAGATCAGAATATTTTGATAACATGCAAAAAATTAATATTTTCTATACTATACCTGAAGGTCATTAAACTGATCATCATTTTGCCGGGGCTCAATACTGCTGACCATGGCATTGTGGAGACTTGGCTGCCCACCCCATTTATGAGTGTGATATACTGCACATTTCATACCCAATAATGAAGCTAGTTCATCCTTGAAGAAATAATAAGAAAATTACAAAAAGTTAATTTACTTATGTTTGGGTAAAATTGTCCATTAGCAATGGGTGTTTTTGACCTAACAAAAATTTTTATTCAGTTGAGAAAACTCACTAACATAATAATCAACAAGCTTCATGGTTGCTTAGTTTTTGAGAAAAAAATATTTACAACTTGTTATTCACTTGTTAGTCACTAAAGAAATTCACCATTTCGATTTCATTAGTTCATTATGAACTTTCACTCTTTTAAGAGCTTTATCAGATTTCTCGCTACGTCGTCCCTGAGTATCGCTTCACCCCCACGGCCTTCGCTCCACTAGGCCTCGCGGGCTTGCTCAACTCAAGACCTCAGAAGCGAGCTTCTGGCTTTATCTTTTTATATTCTCTCTAGGGGTTATGTCTTGACAGCTAAATTCAGAAGGTGGGGTAGGTGGGTTCAAAGATTTATTAATTTTGTAATGATTTATTCGCCTTACTTCCACTCACAACAGCTGAATCATAGTGGGTTCACTAGCCTGACATAAGGTGAGACGGTCCAGGAGCTATTCTCCATAGGTTTTCAAATCAGATGGAGACTGGGTGTTCTGGTAGTTCCGAATTATTCTAGACGGCAGCGCTCGCCTATTAAATAGGGTAGGTGGATCCATAGTGCAATCAAATTGAATTTAACCGTTCTGAGTTTTTAAAAAGTAGTACGGTCGTTAAGTCTCAATTCAATTGGCCCAAACAGGGAAGCATTTGCGTCTCCGAATTACATTGAAGCGCCCGAATTTAGAGATCCGTCGGCGTATGGCGTGCAGGCTATGCGAATGAATATAATTTATTAGCTAATGTAAGGTGTTTTTAGATGCAACGTTACAGGGTAGGGACCACAAGACCATATATAGTTGGGATACTCTGTCGAATCTATGACTCATAAAATTTAGAAAAAAAAAAATTAATCAAACAATTAATACAAGTATGACATTGCCTCCTTCCTATATTTCGTGGGCGTAGAAGGAAAACCCGCTAAGTCCATTTTTGGCTAAAAATGCGTTCTTTGCGTCCACATAATGTTTGGGGGGTTCTGCAGTAGAGTACCGGGTCTCCATTAAAAAAAATTGTTGTCCATATTTCAGGCTAAGTCATTCAGCTAAGTCCTGAAGGAATAATGCGATTTTTCAAGACTTATTGAATTTTCAACCCATTTATCTCCAAATGACGAATTTTGGACTTAGCGGGTTTTCCTTCTACGCCCACGATTTATCATGTTGGTAGTACTGTTTTGCCTTTTGAAGTCAAATTAACAAAATGGCAGACTTTCCTAGTGAAAATAACAAGTTTTAAATATTTTTTTTATCAAAAACTATAAGCAACCAGAGAATTCTGCTTATTGATTATTTTATTAGTGATTTGTCTCTAACAACTACAATTTTTTTAGGCAGAAAAACACCAGGTGCTAATGGAAAAAATTACTGTTATCTAAAGCAAGTATTAAAAAAGTTGTGTTTAAACAACAATTCACTTTACCTCTATATCACTGTTTTCATCTTCACTTTGTATTTGTCCTTCATCTTTAACACTTCTGGAGTTACTTGCATTTATTTCTGTATTATGTGCTTCTGTTTCAGACATTTCTTGCTAAAAAAGAAATTTTTGTGAAAACATAATACATAATACAAAGAAATATGTTAGAACAGGAAGTTGTAAATACTGGTGTGATTTAATCTAATTTCTCACAAGTATATTACAAATATTCAACGCTGTTTAAAGCTTATTCAACTTGAATAATAATCTTCCCATAATGTATGATTTTAGATACATTTAATCTTCTAAATATTAAAAAATAAAACTTCCCATCTATTCCAATCATGTGTATCCTGTTTTGTCAACTATATTTAAGCAAATATTATATATACCATAAATAAAGCATATTCTTGATCCAGCTGGCTTGTGTCATTTGATCCGAAGTTCCTAGAACTTCTCTCATTTGCGTCATTCTGTTTTGCATCCAAGCTATCCTGTGTGAGTTGAATCAATTGTTGTACATCCGATTGGAGTGCAAGCAATGATTCTCGTTCAATATCGTCTTGGGCTATCGCGAGGGCGTTATTAACTAACTGTAACTAAAGATATGAATGTTGGGAATTACATATATTGTAGTAGTAATAAGTATAAATTTAGTATAAAAGCAAAATTCATTAATAATTGTACTTACTTGTTCATTGTACTGTATAATAGAATGTTTAAGATCTTCCATTTTTTTAAGTAATTGAACACGACCTTAAATTTATTACAGTATAAAAAAATCAAATCACATCAAGCTGCTTTATCTACTCAATATAAATGATTGAGGTTTATAGTTAGTTTATTAACAATATGCAAATAATGTTTACATATTTTTAATTGTTAATTGTACATTAAGACTAATGAATAAATCTATGTTAATAAATATCGTTATTAGAAGTGGGCGATACAAATCGTATCAGATATGAAAACTAGATATTAGTACAATATCCCAATATCGCTTACTGGCTCGTTCAATATCTATGTATTTTACAATATCTGATATTTCCGAAATCTGATGTACCGTGCTCGCTCGCTATACCGACACGAATCGCGATACGGCGATATCATACGCGTTTGCCACAATATCTGATTTTTAAACAGATTTCGAGAGACAAAGCGCGTGAGATACAAATACTCACTAGTTAGAGCGGGACGGCAAGCAATGCACGATATCAGATATCGAGCGACAAAGCGCTTGAGATATAAACACTTACTAGTTAGAGTGGGACGGCAAGCAATGCACGATATCAGATATCGAGCGACAAAGCGCGTGAGATATAAACACTTACTAGTTAGAGTGGGACGGCAAGCAATGCACGATATCAGATATCGAGCGACAAAGCGCGTGAGATATAAACACTTACTAGTTAGAGTGGGACGGCAAGCAATGCACGATATCAGATATCGAGCGACAAAGCGCGTGAGATATAAATACTTACTAGTTAGAGTGGGACGGCAAGCAATGCACGATATCAGATATCGAGCGACAAAGCGCGTGAGATATAAATACTTACTAGGTAGAGTGGGATGGCAAGCAATGCACGATATCAGATATCGAGCGACAAAGCGCGTGAGATATAAAACACTTACTAGTTAGAGTGGGACGGCAAGCAATGCACGATATCAGATTTTTAAACAGATATTATGAATAAGTTAAGTAATTTTGAATCTTAACACTATGCAAATAAGATCCGTTTCATTTAAATACTAATCTTGGTATCAGCGATTACTACAACGATATTATTATATTTTTATTGTTTTGTTTAGCCTTGAGCCGTAACGGGCGACAAAGCGCGCAGTTAAGTAATTTGGAATCTTAACAGCATGGAAAAAAAACTCTGTTGCATTTAAATACGAATTACGGTATTAACGATGTCTTTGAAATTTTGTTCAGCCTTGAGCTGGATTGCATTGGTACTTAACACGTAATAGTAAGGGATGCCAACTTACTACTTAAGAATTTTCTGCCTAAATTAAGGAAGAAAAATATACAATGGAAATTTTTTGGGAGGTAAATTTTTTGTGAATATTTTTATTAGCTAAATTTTATTCATATTTTTGGAAAAAAATAAAAGTACACAAAAAGAAAAATATAATTTAATAGTGCTGTGCTGCTTTGGTGGAAATCAGACCAAGGCTTATGTGCCTTGTGTGTATATTTTAAATTATTCCGCCCTAAGCTATAATACTGAATGTATTATTTCTTACACAAATAATAAAAATATTGCCACTCGATTGCGTGTTCTAAAAATATGTTAAAGTCAAATATTAAGCGGTATATAAGATGTTAAAATAAATCATTTTTATATTACTTCAATTTATATTTTTTTAATGAAATTTTTAATTTAATAATTTAAAAAAACGCATTTTTAGTAAGACAGGGTTAATTATTAATGATCGTCGAACAAGACTTTCGACGAATAAAGTCAGAGAGCTTACGTTCCTAAACGTGAATTTGAACCCGGAGGGATATAAATAATTATTAACCCTGACATAATTGTAAATATATAATGTTAAGTTTTAAATATAAGGAAAATTATGTATATAGAATGAATCAACTTTTAAATACGCCTGCACAATTTTATATTTATAATAAGTATGAAATACTGCAGCCAGTCCTAAGCCTGGAAAAAGTATGAAGGGAAGTTATTTCATTCATCTTATATCCACTCCCTTAAAGTATACAATTTTTTTTTTTTTTTTTTTTTTCAGAATTCAATAAATCAACGTAGATAGGGAACCGTAAAATATCTAGATATTAAAATACATAGTTTCGAAATCTGATATTTGAAATCGATATCGGATTCAGATACGGTACTCAGAAAAAGCGATACGACCCATCCCTAATCGTTATTCGTTTCGCTAATCTGACAGATGCCAGATGACTAAGTAACCATTGTTACAAACTCTAAAAAATATTTGCCCCTAAAGTCATAAGTCCCTAGAACCCCCTAATAAATATTATAAAAAAATATCAATAATTAATAGTACAAAGATTTTTGCATTAATTTCCACATGAATAGAATAATACAGTGAAGGATATTGCAGTGAAAATGTTGGTCTTATAAAAAGTGTTTAAACGGAAATTGTAGGGAATTTAATTTTTTTTTAAAATATCCTTATGAATCCTTCAGACGACCAATATGTTTACCACAATTTCAAAAATGTAAGTCGTAATGAATGATAAAAAAATTAAAATACTTTTGGCGCTTTCTTTACAGCCCGATTTTCGATTCGTCATGGTCAGTGGCGATTAGCGAGAACAAGTATAGTGGCCAGTGGTGGACTGTTTACACTACAGCAAGTACAATAGCATTTCACTATCGAAATGGACGAGCAATACGTGCAATTTTCTTGCCTACGGCAAATGATGAGCCAAGTGCCCCGCGGAGACTAAAAGGGCGGCGAAAGGTGCAATTCAACCAAAGATAGAAAGGGAATCTTTTTATTTTACCTTTTTTAAAAACATTGCCATTACGTTAGGATAACATTATCCTGTGTTGGCAGGACGTTTTAAAAATATAAAATTATTTGCGGTGCGGGTCACACAAGTAATGGTCCGGTATGGGAATCGGACCCACGAACCTATTCTAGAGGGTCTAGTTGCAATACAGCTTGCAAATCAAGTTGTCTCGCCACTCTCCGACAGTTTACAGTACTGTAGTTATTCACTGAACTTGTCTACTTTACTAAACACTTGAACAGTGTAAATCAGGCTTAAAATGTATCCTACGCTCCGCTATTGAGTGCTTTTTGACGGACACTTTTTATCTCTGGTTTCCGTGGTTCAACTCCGCATTCTTAGTAATGAAAATCTGAACATATGATTGGGATAGATTGCGTTAATCCAGGCCCTTTATTTTTAAAGTTGTTAAAAATGTCGTGAAACTTTATTAACGTAATAATAAGCCGACTGCTTACGTTAAACCGGTGTATGTACACATCCAAAGTAAACGAAAAATCAAAACGTCGGCGGTGACAGAGCACGCCCTTAACTCGGACCAGATCTTTTATATTAGGTTCGATAAGGTGAAAATGCTAGCCCGTGAAAAGAACTTCGAGTCACGAAAGTTCTTGGAAGCCATCGTGATAGAACGCCCGGCTAATTTTAATAGAGACAAGGGATGGGCTCTGCCGCCTACTTGGAAACCCGTCTTATTGAATGCGACACGGAATAAGAACGATAATGCTAACGATTGTTTAGTGGACATAGTACTATTTGTGTGACCCTAAAGACCAACAGTGACATTATATCAATCTCGCCGAATAACTCATCATCACCGAGCTCGGGGACGCATTGCGAAACTAGGCGCGACCGCGCACTGATCCCACTCACCCTGATGAAGGACCGAAACTATTCGGTAAACACAACGATTTAACGTGATTTCAGGCGGCTTATTTTTCTTAATTAAAGAAAATAACAAGAAATAAAACATAAGTCAAAATAACCCTTTAAATTTATCACCCCTAAAAAATCCGAACGCATATTGACCTCCTAAATTTGGGGGGAAAACCCTTAAATTGGCGACCCTGTGACTAACCGCTGAAACCGCTAATCGACAATCAATATGCGAAGTAGTCACTCGTCTGCAGTAGGGATGTCGAATAGTATCGATATTTTGGATTCTATATATCAATTTTTGCGGCCGATATATCGATACAATATATTTGATATCAAAAACGGTATTTTTTCAAATTGTAATGGAAAATTTTATGGATAATTATTCAGCATCGAACAATTGATACGAGTATAACGTCGCCCGCATAGATAAGACATATGGTCGCCCGCTTCCTGTTCTAGTTTCTAGAGTTACCTTATTTTAATTCTAGAAAAAAAAATACAAATCTTATCTTGTACCATATGAAACTAGCAAGATTAAAGTATGGAATGGTGTACTGCAACAGTTTTTCTATTTTTAATATTTATTTAAATATATTAATGTAAAAAATACTGTTTCTTAATTGTATGCAGTATTTATATATTACTTATTTAGAATTTAAGCTTATTGATAGTGAAATGTATTATCTGTCTGTGCATAACATTCATGTTATTTCAACAATCTAATGCACTTAAATATAGTAATATACATAAGAATAATAATATACATAACAAATTGATGAAAAACAAACAGTTTGGCAAACAAAAGATGACTTTGGTATACAGAAACGTAGAAAATACAATAATTATATATCAATAAAATTCTAATTACATATTCACTTAATAAATAATAATAAGTAAGCAATATCAGTAATCATATTTCTAGATTTCGTTCAAAGCTTTCATTGTTTCTTTTTTAACAACCTTAGCAACTACAGATTTAACGGTTGTCCCTGTATAATTTTCGTTACTATCAAAGTTTGCACACAGACTGTGAAAAGTGCCATTCATTATGGATTTGAGTTTATTTTTAATTTCATCATTGTCAGGCATAGTAATATTTTCAGCATTTTTCGTTTCTTCTCTTTTTGAACTAAGCTCTTGTTTTAGGCTATTCACTTCTGTCGTGTGATCATCACATTTTTTTTCGAATTCTTTACATGAATTTTCATATTTTTCTTGTAACGTTAACAAATCATGTTTAAGTTTACAGTTTTCTCTAGTTTGTTCTTCAATAATATTTTGAAGTTCTTGAATTTTATGTTTAAGCAAGTCCTTTTCATTTGTGTTATTTATTTGTAAATCTTTTGTTTCCATCGATTTTGTAATAATGTTGTTATCAAATCCTTTTAAAAGTAAGAAGTCTTCGTAACATTTTATTTTTTTTTCATATTCATTCAACAGTTTCTGAACAATGTTATCCTGAAACTGTTTTGTACAACTTTTACTTTCTGAATCACTCTGCACTTTTTCTACTATTTTGTCTATTTTATCTGACAATCTGTTTAAATTTATTCGCAACTCACTATTACTCATTCTTTGTTCAGACATAAACAAATTTAATTCATTTGAGTTATTGATAATAGGGTTGGTTATAATGTTTGTACTTTTTATGGGTACAAGTTGTTGTTCACCTAGTGAAGCATTAACAGAGGGCTTTAACAATGTGTTTCTTTTTAAATTTATATCTGTATATTCATCAGAATGCAGCTCTACTTTCTCAGTCAAATTTCTTCGTAAGTTACTTTTTTGGGGCTTATGTCTAATAATTTTTTGAGCATTTTCATCAGAGTCTGACGATTCACCAGATTTTGTTAAAGATATAGATTGAATTGGAAGTATGGAATGACCCATTGTCGCCATTCTTTTCAATATTGATTCTTTTGTTTTCTTATGTATTCTAGAGTCTGTATCACTTTCTTTGTCATCCTTGGGCATCTGAGAAGAGATGATGTATTCTTCACATGCTACTAAATTTCTTTCTGTTGGTTCATTTTCATTATTTGAAGAATCTTTTACTTGAACATTTAACACTTTTAATTCTTTAATGAATTTTGAAAATTCTTCTGGTGTTCCATAAATACTCCAGTATTTTTTTTTATTATCATAATATGATAGGTTTAAGTTCTCTTTTATTACCACTTCAAACTGTGCTGAAACCACTGCACAAGATAAGGTAGTTTTATTTGTATCATACAAAATAATATTATATTGATTACTTTTTACTGATTCTATAATAGCAGCACCTAATTTTCCTCTAGAAACATATTCATTGTTTAACCTGAAACATATATTACTTTATATCATGGTAAATTCATAACAAACAAGTATTAACATTTTGTGGTGAGTGAGGTAGCCAGGGCCTACTTTAATAAAAGGTGGCAACGCATCTGCAACCCTAAGGGTGTTGCAAATGGCCCTTGGCGGCGGTTATCACTTAACATCAGGTGAACTGCCAGCTTGATTGCCACTTTGTCACATTAAAAACAAATGTCACCTATTCTTCCTAACAATTGGCATATTATATAAAAAGGCTGTTTTTATGGACTTCATTTACAGATTAAAAGTGGATGTAATTTTACTTTAGAGAGGTGGCTTATAAATAAAAATTACCATTCGTATCCAAAGACGGCACAAGCATAAATAATTTTCGTTGCTTTTGTCTCCTCTTTATGTGTTAGACTTTGTGGTGGTGTTGGAATATACTTTAATGTGGCATTTTCATTTTCCTCAATTTTACTGTCACTGCCGAATATTTTTGCTAACGACGTGCTGAAAAGTTATTAAGTATTTTAAAAGTGAATATATAAAATAACTATTTTGTTTTATTTTCAGCATAATAACCTTGCCACAGGTGTAAAGAAGTCAATATCAACTTCATCAGCTTCTAACATTTTTGCATAATAATCCGTTGAATACAATTGTAATAGTTTATTTCAATGTTATTGCCAATAGGCAAAGAAACGACTTATAAAGGATCACAATGTTTTCACCAGAAAGCTTTGTTTACTGTCAAAGTGTCAAACTCAAATTGTCCATGGAATCAAAGAGAATGTAATCACTACGGCATGGAATCAATAGAAGTGGGCGATGCAAATCGTATCAGATATGAAAACTAGATATTAGTACAATATCCGAATATCGTTTACTGGCTCGTTCAATATCTAAGTATTTTACAATATCTGATATTTCCGAAATCGTATATTATCGTATAATATCTGATATTTCCGTATAATATCTGATAATATCTGATATTTCCGTACCGTGCTCGCTCGCTATACCGACACGAATCGCGATATCATACGCGTTTGCCACAATATCTGATTTTTAAACAGATTTCGAGAGACAAAGCGCGTGAGATACAAATACTCACTAGTTAGAGCGGGACGGCAAGCAATGCACGATATCAGATTTTTAAACAGATTTCGAGCGACAAAGCGCTTGAGATATAAATATTACACTAGTTAGAGCAGTACGGCAAGCAAGGCACAATATCAGATTTTTAAACAGATATTATGAATAAGTTAAGTAATTTTGAATCTTAACGCCATGCAAATAAGATCCGTTTCAATTAAATACAAATCAAGGTATCAACGATTACTACAACGACATTTTTTTTTTTATTGTTTTGTTTAGCCTTGAGCCGTAACGGGCGACAAAGCGCGCAGTTAAGTAATTTTGAATCTTAACAGCATGGAAAAAAACTGCAACAAGCATTTAAATACGAATTACGGTATTAACGATGTCTTTAAATTTTGTTTAGCCTTGAGCTGGATTGCATTGGTACCTAGCACGTAATAGTAAGGGATGCCAACTTACTATTTAAGAATTTTCTGCCTAAATTAAGGAAGAAAAATATAAATGGAAATTTTTTAGGAGGTAAATTTTTTGTGAATATTTTTATTAGTTAAATTTTATTCATATTTTTGGAAAAAAATAAAACTACACAAAAAGAAAAATATAGTTTAATAGTGCTGTGCTGCTTGGGTTGAAATCAGACCAAGGCTTATGTGCTTTGTGTGTATACAGCGTGTCGTTACCATCGCTACAATAAATGAACACACGTCTAACGCTACTTGCCAATAATCATAAAAAAATATTAACGTTAAACAAAATCCATAATTCAAAAAAAATATTTTTCAAACAAACTAATTAAGTAAAAAAGAAACAAAATTTGTAACATCCTATACAACTCGCGCCACAGCGTCGCATTACAAGCCTCTCCTTCTAACAGTATATTTTGTCTCTTTTAAATTCATTCAACCCTTTCATATGCTTTGTGATCTTTACAAATGAACTTCATGTTATAGTTTTATACGTAAGGGTGTTCTAAAATTGTTTTTTTATTGGAAAATTTAATAACTCGCTAAATATTGATGTTTAAAGAATGTAAATGTTTATTACAATTTTAAAAAGTTATCCTCTATATGTGTGTTCATTTATTGTCGCGGTGGTAGCGACACGCTGTATTTTAAATTCTTCCTAAATAAGTTTCTAAATAAGTTATAATACTGAATGTATTATTTCTTACACAAATTATAAAAATATTGTCACTCATGATTGCGTGTTCTAAAAATATGTTTAAGTCAATTATTAAGCGATATATAAGATGTTAAAATAAATCATTTTTATATTACTTCAATTTGTATTTTTTATGAAATTTTTAATTTAATCAGGTAATGTTTTAATTTTACCTTAATAGTATAAAAAAATCGTGATTTTAAATTCAGTAAGTTTTTTGTATTTAGTAAATTTTAGTGGGTTTTCGAATTTATTTAGGAGTATTCTTTTTGAACAGTTGGTATCACTGGTAATAGCTTTATAGGTGTAATGATCGTGGAACAAGACTTTCGACGAATAAAGTCAAACAGCTTACGTTCCTAAACGTGAATTTAAACCCGGAGGAATCAAAATAATTATTAACCCACACATAATTGTAAATATATAATGTAAAGTTTTAAATATCAGGAAAATTATGTACATAGAAAGAATCAACTTTTAAATACGCCTGCACAATTTATATTTATAATAACTATAAAATATTGTTGAAAATATATATATTTTTTTTTTAGAATTCAAGGTGGATACGGTACCGTAAAATATCTAGATATATAAAACACATAGTTTCGAAATCTGATATTTGAAATCGAAATCTGACTCAGAAAAAGCGATACGACCCATCTATAGTCAATAGATATAATTGAAGTCAATATATAAATGATGGAATGGATGGAGGGAATATGGAACACCAATAAATCACTGTTGCCAGGTCTATTTTTTTAATTCAGTAGTTTCCTTTCAGTCAATAATCTCAAGACTATACAGATATCAGAAATAGATTCAGTAAAAATTGGAGAATCTAAAAGGTAAAGGGAATTACTGTTAACTACTTTAATATTTGGAGCCAAAATGTAAAATTTTTGTTTAACGTCATTTAAATTTAAGTCACAGTTATTTATAAAAAGTTCGCATTTGCTAAAATTTAGCTCCAAACCAAAGGCTTCAAATTTATTTTTGATTAAAAAAAGGTCCGAAAACACAGTATTCACATCACATCCTAGGGTTCCGTCGTCCAAATACCAAACGTTGAATTTAAATGTTTGATAATCGGATTTATAGCCAAACTAAAAATTACAGGCCCAAGGGGATCACCCTGTTGACAACCTACTTCCGAGGACAGTTCATTAAAACGATATAACAATTTTGTTGGTCAGCGTAACTGAGAAGAAGATAATTGTATATTTACGGTGTATGTTGTTTTATTTCCGTTAGCAGGGTATCCCTATTTACCGAATTGAATGCATTTTTGACATCAATTTTGAGAAAAACGTCAGGCTGTCTATAAGTTAGGAAAGAGCGTAAGGCATGGACGGCTGCCTCACACCCTCCTTTTACACCGAAGCCTAACTGTACGGGTTCAAATTTCGAATTTAATTTTGGTAAAATGTGTCGAACAGCATTTTTGGAGTCCAGACGTCGTAGTGTTGATCCAACAGCAATTGGTCTCACCCCTCCGTCCTTTTTGGTGAGGGCAATGAGGTTCGCGCCAAAAAGAATGGGAACAATTTCTGGATTGAAATTAGCGGAATACATAAAGTTGATTAATTTGGTGATCGAATTTACAAGTTGCTCGCCTGCATCATCCACAGAATGCGATGTTAAGTCTTTCAAATGTTGGGGTCAGATTCCATCCAAACCTGCAGCCGAACCTGGATTTAAAGGTAAACGGCATCCGTAACATCTTTTTTATGAATTTGAAGGCATGTTTGCCCTGGTGTTGGTGGGTCGAGAAAATTAGGATTCACTGGAGCTGGAGGATGTTTTGTCCGTAAGGCCTGAAGAGGGTATCTGGTCAGAAGGCGAGCGGCACCTTTGAGATCTCCGTCACAGATTTTGTTTTCGATGAGTTTGTTGCGATTACGAGGGGCATCATGTTTGATTTAAGGTGTGGGAGAAGGCGAGGAGCTTACAGCAAAGTTATTCTTAATCTTTTGTGTCAAGGATAAATTCGGTTCATAAGTTTTTATTACATGTAGTGTGCTGTATGAAAATAAAAAAAGGTTTTGCCAGTCTTGAGTACAATTGCTTACGTAACATTTTTGGATTAATTGCGACAAATGTGTAGCAACGGTTTACCGAGCTCCTCGAGGGATTCTTTTAACTATGGGTATACTATTTTTCAAATGGCTAAGATATATGTGGAAAGGAGTTGGAACGTTGGCTACATAAGTAGGCGCACTCGGAATAATGGGATGAATGTCTAAAGGTGAACTGTTTTGGCTAATAAATTTCCTGTGTGTTTTTGTAGTGTGTATGTTGAGGCCTTTCAACGATTTGAATGACTTGTTGCACTGTGTTCATGTATGGGTCGCATCCGACGCCATCACAAACAAGATTTGGTCAATTGGTTAATTGTTTGTTAACTTGATGACTCCGTGGCGCAGTTGCCAAGGTATTGGCTTCGGCGTCGGGGGTCGTGGGTTCGATTCCCACACGGGACAACTATTTGTGTGACCAACAGATAGTTGTTTCGCATCTGGGTGTTTGTCCGCGTGAAATTTATGTTTGTAAAACGTCCTTTACAACACAGGATCATATTATCCTAAAGTAAGGGCAGTGTTTATAAAAAAAAAAAAAAAAAAAAAAGAGAAAGAAAAGAGAAAACTTCAGGGCCATATACGTCTCACACTGACGGTTTAATAGTATTAGTAATTAGTATTTTCATGGTATTGGCTTAAAGGTATTGTTACCAAGCCATATACTCTTTATTAAAAAAAAGATGCACGCATCATTTACACCAAACCAGAGTTGCGTTAAAAAATATATCGAAATTGAAACGAATTCGATAGTCGAAAACAAATATCAAATATCGATATATTGGTAATAAAAATATCGACGATAGATATATATATCGATATTTATTTGGAAAAATATCGATGGTTACATATCGATATATTATGCCCATGTCTACTCCTCCATCAGGATCAGGACATGTAGTGATTACATATACATTCTCTTTGGATCAGGATTCAGGAAAGGCAAACGGAACGGAATTTTTAATCTTGTGCTAAATATATTGTTTCAGAAAATTTATCAATAAGATAAAAATTTAGATCAAATCTAAATTAAAGATAGAATTTTTACATTAAGATGCCTGATACCTACACGTGCATTACTTGCCAGGTACTATTTAAATCAGCTGAGTTACAACGTGAACATTATAAATTGGATTGGCATAGATATAACTTAAAAAGAAAAGTAGCATCGATTCCCCCAGTTACCCTGGAAGAGTTTGAGCAACGGGCAAAGGAACACCGTGAATCTGCTGAAGTTGTCCGAGACGGATCATCCTATTGCAAATGCTGTTCAAAATTGTTCAACACAAAGAACGCGTATGCCAATCACCTTAACAGTAAGAAGCACAGGCAAACTGAGGAGAGGAGTCTTGAGGGTCTAAAACAAGACGAAGAACTTAGTTGTCACTCTGATTCTGACAGCTTTGTAAAAATAGATGATGTTGAAAAACTTAGAGCAGTAAAAAGTGAACCCGAAAAATTTGTTGTTGTCGTACCAAATGATTCAGGCGACGAAGATGTTGAAACTGATTCAGAAATTGAAGAAGTATGTATGAATCCCTTTCTTTCATTACTTTTAATATGAAAACAATTTTTCATTTTAAAAAGCAACAGCCTACACATGTCCAGATTGTGTTAAGGCACAGTCCGCCATGACCTACAACGGATTGGCAGATTTCACATATCTGAAATATATTTTGTTATTATTTTAAAAGTATGAGTATGAAAGTGCAGGTTTCCTCACAATGTTTTCCTTCACCGTTGAGCATGTGATGAGTCAGCGCTTAAAATTGTAATTAATAATTTTATTGGTGCCAGCACTGGTAATTCGACTTCGCTAGAATATCTTGAATTAAAATAGCATCTGGATACTGAGCTATCATGGCGCTTTTAATTTAATTTAAAATTAAATGTAAATATTGTGCACCATAGATTACGTTTATGATAATTTTAGTAGAGATTACCTTAAGTTTATACAAAATCGCCTATTCTATTTTTCTGGTTAAATCAGTTGATAATTACTGATTCTTAGTTTACTTGATGTAAATTGAGACATTGTTAGTAAGCTTTTTATAGTTTTAGTAGTTACATAGAATTTGAGCACTTGTAGGTAAAGGTCAAACCCATTGTTCATAACCTTATAGAAGTGTAAGAACAAAACTAATTCAAGTGTTATAATTTTATACATAAATGATTTCTGTTCTTAGATTTTCAAACATCATAGTGAGATGTATTTTGTAAGGGTTCACCATCTATCAAGTTTTAGCTTAATAAGGAAATTTATAGCTATCTACCTTATTAGGGTTTTAACCCTAATACAATATTTATGTTGTTGAAAATGATTAATTTTCCATCTTAATTTCCAGCTTGATTCTGATGAATGGGATGAGTGTCGTATAAAGGAAAGTGATTCATTGATTAAACCAAGAGACTGTTTGTTCTGTACTCACCATAGTAAAAGCATGTATAAAAATCTAAAGCACATGTCTAAAGCCCATTCATTCTTCATTCCCGATGTTGAATATCTTGTTGATGTTAATGGACTGTTGTTATATTTGGGTGAAAAGGTATTTATTATTCATTTAGTTTTTAAATGTATCAGGAGTAATTTTTTTAAGACATACTGTTCCTATTAAAAACAAAGTCATCATTTAAATATGTCAATAATGAAAACTTTGTTAAAACATGTTTTGATATGCAGATTTCACAAGGTTACATGTGCTTATGGTGTAATGAAACTGGACGAACATTTTACTCTATGGAAGCTGCTCGAGCCCATATGGTAGACAAAGGGCATTGCAAAATGTTGCATGAAGGTCTTGCTTTAGCAGAATATGCAGATTATTATGATTACAGGTATTATATTCATTTTTCAATATAAAGTGCACATAAGACATTATTTTTAACATGAACATTAATTGAAAAATTTGCTTTGTAGTGCTTCTTACCCTGATCACAAAGAGGGAGACAAGATTATGGATGTGGATGTTGAAGTGGAAGAACCAACAACTTTAGAGGGAGATGATTGTCAGTTGGTTCTGCCTTCTGGAGTCGTAGTTGGTCATAGATCCCTTATGAGGTAAAGTTTTCTTATTTAGATATATTGTTTATTACTATTTTCAATTCTATTTAAATCAATCTGATGATTCAAAGGTGCTGTTGTTAAGCTATTAGCCTGGGCGCCGGGTGTTGTGGGTTAAATTTTTGATACTGGACAAGAATTTTTGTTACCCAGTTCTAGATCTAGGTGTTTATTACCATGGAGGGTGGTCATCAACCGGTCATAAAATAAACCTAGCTAATACCGTATATAACTGGATTCAAATGTTGTGTTGATCCAACCTAGATAGGATGAGGGCAGGAGAATGAAAAATATACAGATCCTAAATTAGTTGTCAATTTAAAATGCCAAAATGTAAATGACATGTTGCCTAACTATATGTTATTAGGTCACATAGAAACCACAATGAGTATACAATATTAATTATTGAATTGCAGGTACTACAAGCAAAATTTGACACAAAATAGTCAGGCATTGGTTAAAAAGTCTGATCGGAAACTACACAAGCTCTTGGGAGTGTATAAAGCTTTGGGATGGGCACCGAAAGAACAGGCCCTAGCAGCAAAGTAAGGGATATAAATTAATTGAGTTTAGGGGACGATTGAGCCAATCGTCCCCTAAACTCAATTTTATTGCTTCTGTGGGTTAAGTAGCAACCGCCGCTTATAGATATTTGCAACTCCCGTAGGGTTGAAATGCGTTGTCACGTTTAAATAAAGTCAGCCCTGGTCGACGGAAAGTGTCTGGGAGTATTGACGACTTATTTGTAACGATATTATCTAAAATATACTTAAAAATCAGCTTGAAGAATTTACGTGATGTAACAATGTTTTTATGTACCTTGATTACCTGATATCTGAAATTTGGCGGTCTGACCAAGTCAGCAGGTAGGAACCCGATCGTAGTACATACTAACACTACTCAATCTTGCATATTTCGTTCGTCAGAAAATACGTGACGTCCGGTGGCTGATACGGTGGCCGGATCTTGAACTATTTACCTATTGTAAAAATCTTCTAGCTTCCTTTCAAGTATAACAAAAACAGACAGATTTCTAAACTACTAAGTAGCTAAATAATTAAACATTATAAGCCTTAAAACAGGCTTTAATATATTATAAGAAAAAAATATAAAGCAGATTTGTTTAGAATATATTTTTTACTTTATGGGAATGTATGTTTTAGCATTTTTTTGTAAAAGCTAAATTAAAAAATTGTTCTTAATTTTTGATAGTTATACGGCGTGTCGTTACTATCGCTACAATAAACAATAAATGAAGACACGTCTAACGCTACTTGTCAATAATCATAAAAAAATATTAACGTTACACAAAATCCATAATTAAAAAAATATTTTTCAAACAAACTAATTAAGTAAAAAAGAAACAAAATTTGTAACATCCTCCTATACAACTCGCGCTACAGCGTCGCATTACAAGCCTCTCCTTCTAACAGTATGTTTTGTCTCTTTTAAATTCATTCAACCCATTCATATGCTTTGTGACCTTTACAAATGAACTTTACGTTACGCTTTTATAGGTAAGGGTGTTCTAAAATTCTTTGTTTTGGAAAATTTAATAACTCTGTAAATATTGATGTTTAAAGAATTTAAATGTTTAATACAACTTTAAAAAGTTATCCCCTATATGTGTGTTCATTTATTGTCGCGATGGTAACGACACGCTGTATAATATGGTGTAATTTACTTATATGATGTGTTTACTCTTTCACACACACTTATAAATTTTAAATTTTTCAGGAAGGCACGGGATATTCATTTTATGAAGAGAGTGCAAGCCAAATGGCAAATGAAGCTTTCATTGAAAACAAACAAATTCCAAAAGCATTACCGGCCACAAGTTAACTTCTAGATTGTTATAATTTGTAATTGTTTGTTTTATTTAATAGTAGTGTTTGTTATTTGGGTATTAAAATCAGTACTATCCACCATCACTGTAATTAATAGTTGTGAAAGTCCCATAAATATTTATGGTAAATATAATATTATTGTAATGTTGTCATTTGGCAAGTACATCATGCATGCATTATCTTAATGTTGAAGTGTGAGCTTGCATCAAATTTATTCCACTTGTTTAAAAAATTGTCTTTATCACTTGTAAGTTACATAATAAATTATAACGATCAATATATCTGGTACACTAATAAAGAAACAGTCAAATCAACTTATACTTTTTTATTTAATGTTCCTAGAAATTTCATATCGCGTGTAATTTTTCTGAGGTGTTAAACTTTTCATAACCGGTCATTCTTTCTTACAGCTACATACTTATATTTTAATTGGCTGCCATTCAAATTTTTTGAATTTGCTTCCTTTATAGTCCATGGGATTTTTACGGGGTTTCTGTCAATTTTGATGCTAATCTTGTATAATGGTAAGACATTTATTTTCCCCCCTAAATAACGCGATATAGATTTAGCCAGACCTTCGTTGATAATGTATTTCGAGTCGATATCTTTTAAGTTCTCGGCGTATTTTTGTAGAAGTTTTCTGATTTCCTCTCCCGAACTATTCATTGGCTCTAACGCGCTTCCTAAGGTGATAAGTGTCAGTATCTATAAAAAATTAATAATTATGAGTAAAAGAAATAGTTTAGTTTAATATTAAAAATAAGGTACATGCATATATCGTAGCCAAGAACAATGGATGGTTCATTCATTCAAAGAAGTCTCACTGTTTCTTTGCTTTAAAAATATTTGAAAACAATATTTTACCGTAGATTTTCTAATAACATTAAAATTTATCAAATCTGAGGAAAGACGTTGATTCTAGACGGAAAGTGCTAGATGAAGTAATGCTATTTATGAAAGAAACAAAATTAATTATCAGTGGAAAAAATGAAAATCGATGATATTACTTATTTAAATTTTTATTAATATATATATTTTTTCTAATAAACACCTGCCTAATAGAGGTCACATATTATAACTTTGTGTCAATAACTTACCAGGAGAGTAATCATCTTGGGTCCATGGTGTGACTGATTGGTATAAATGTTGTACAACAATGGAATCAATTCATTAATGTAATCATTAAACAGTAACCAATCGCATTTTCAACTTTATGTCGATACGCTCATTGCCATCCAATATAGGCTATAGGACGGAATCTAGTTGCATAAAACTAGCTTAAATCAAAGAAGGACATGTGTTTTTGCATGTTCTATTATATTTAGATGGTCAACAATTACAACCGACACTCAATTTCATATGGCAATGTAGACTTCATTACATATTACCAAAATATTAGTATGAAATGATGTTATGCATTTAACAAGCGTTTCTGAAGAAATTAATTTCTTATTTAAATTATACCAACCAATATGTAAATTTAACATCCGAATTATAGATTTAATAATTATGTTAACTAGTGTAGGGCTTTTAAATTGGTACTATGAACGAGATTCGGACAATGACATCACTACTTGTTTCCTGCATATTCGGGAGATTATTGCTTACCTATACTTATATTTTAAACCTATTGTAAATTTCAGATATAATTAATTCTGCAGATTACGGGAACGGTCAGCTTTTAAACTGTAAACAACTACTTTGCAACAAACATTACTTCTAGAGCGATCTAGAGATCTGCGATGGCTATAACATGAACATATGAGCATATTAGTAAAATAATACAATTATTGGGCATGACAGGCGTCAATGATGTGTCTGTACTGGTAAGTCCAAGACGCCTCTGGGAGCAGTGCCTCGTCTCGAAAATCCTAGGGACGCCTTTAAGACACACAAGCCTGCTTCTATAGTGCGTTTCCTGTCCGACTCGTCGCCGAGAGCTGGGTTTATTTCTACTAGATCAACGGCCCGCAATCTCCCCGTTGAATGTATGATCTCCATCAAATTTATTGCCTCGCGGAGAGAGAGCCCACCTCGAACTAAAAAAAAAAACGTTAAAATGTAACTTTTCGGGGATATCTCTAACGAGCCAATATCGTCTTCGTTGCAATGATATCACAATTTAGAATTAATCCAAACAAGAATGATGATCATCATTTGATACTTTAACAGTTTTTTTTAATTTAGACGTGAAATATTAAATTTATCAGCATATTGTAGTCGATGTAATAAACATCACTTACCAGGGGTTCCCGTGCTAGGTGCCTCTAACGCGTCTAAGGAATCGATGTCAAAGCTCACGTGAATGGGCTTATTCATTTCCGGATCTAATACTTGTAATATGTGATTAATAGACTTTCGAATGCCGTGTCTAGAATAAAATAGAACAACAACGATAAGTACTAAACATTGAAAATTTATCGACGTAAACACGAACAGTTCTAGTTTTTTTTTTTTTTTTTTTTTTTTTTATGCGAAAAGTTGTCAAACGAGCAGACGGTTTACCTGATGTTAAGTAAATACCGCCGCCCATGGACATCTGCCACACCCGAGGGTTACAGATGCGTTGACAACTTTTGAAAATTGGGCTCCGAAAGTTCTAGTTGTTACTTTTTATTTACTAACAAGTTAATCTTTGGGTTAAATTAGTTGTAAACACAAACACAAAAACCACCTTGGCATTAACGAATTAGAGAATATAATGTTATATATAAAACTTGCATACATACTCATCAATGTCTTCCATTGCAAACGTTGGCACATTATATTTTTCAATTGCTAGCCTTTCATATTCATCAACAGATCGCAGTCCAACATATCCTAAGTTCTTTATGGAAAATCTGTAATCAATATTTTTACAACTATATATATAATTTTAGAGAAAACATCAAGAAAAAATAAAACCGATTAGTTAATCGATGTAATTGAAAATAGCTAAATTTCAGAGGTCATAATTAAATCTGGTTTTTATCCAACTAGTAAAACAAGCTCAGTTAATATTTGATTTATAATTGATCAGATGTATACATACACAGAGTAATAAATAGTAATTAGCTTACTTTGGTACTTGCCAGTCCATAGTCGGTAAATATGGCCAATAATCGGAAAGCTCTTTCACGAGGAGTGCGACGGGCATGCCATGTACTGAACCCGACCCTGAAGTTTTGTTTGTGTTAATATCCGCATGCGCATCCACCCAAATTAAAATCATATCTTCATTTACGTTGAAGTGACCATCTACCGTCCCTGGTAAAAGAAATAAAATTTGAATATTTACACTTTTCATTTATTTGTACTGAAAAGTTTTCTCAGTCAGAGTCGGATGAATAAATTAATTGTTTCAGTCAGATCGTTTATAGTTATAAATCAATTTATAGTGATCTTAATTAAAATTTAGATTTCAATCTCAATAGACTAATGAGTTATGTTCTGGTTTAAGAATTAAGGACTCCTTATTGTCGAAGGAATTATGTCTTGTAAAAAGTTTATCAATTAGGTAACGACTATAAAATGAGTTATCAATACACAAGACCGTTGGGGATTGATCTACGAACTTTTGTAAAATTCAACATCAAACTTACCAACCCCTACGGAATGGTCACCCCCAATAGTAACAGCCACTCGTCCATCTTTAAGTACTTGCGAAACACGCGCCGATAGTTTCTTGTTGCAAGAAGAAACTTGTGAAAGATGAGCCATGTTGTGAACATTGACTTCAGCATCTGGCGCCGATGTGTCAATATCTCCGTAGTCTTTAACGTCAAGGCCAACTACAAACGAAAAAAAAGCAATGAAATCTAGAATATTTATTTTTTTCTAGGTCAGAGGTATGCTTATACGTTTTTCTGTTGTGACACTGCTTTTTATATTCAGACTAGCGGACCCGATAGACTTTGTCCTGTACATTGTCTTAAATCCGTTAAAAAAACTCATAAATAAAAAAAATATTCAAACAATATCTTATAGTGGACCGAATTCTAAATCTAAACAATTCCCGAATCCACTTGTACACACACACAAAATCGGTTCAGCGGTGTCGGAGAGTGACATACACACGTACAGAAGACGCACACGTTTTAAAGGTATCATATAACTTACATAATCCGTGATTCAAACAAATTTAATAAAAAAAACATGCGTCCCATTAAAACTAAAAGGAGTTGAATAGTGTCACTTACACTGTAATTTTTTGTAGAAATTTAACGTTTGTAGTAGGTATAGTAGTATAGTAAGTTATTTAACATATTATTATATTATATTTATTACCGATGGAATTAAGATGTTCAATTAAGCCGGCAGCTCTTATTGCAGCTGGAGCTACGCTCACGCCATATTTTTTTTGCCCTTTTTCGAAAGGCACTCCGATAATTCCCACTTTCTTCAATGGCTCCCATTTTCTTCGTTGACTCATATTCCTATTGAATAATTTAATAAAATTCATTTTCAATATTTACTTAATAGGAAGAAAAATAAATACAGCTGTAACAGTTAAAGCTTGTGACACACTGAACGTTAATTGTTACAACATGAAGTAGATAATTATGTTATCGTACTGAGTAGGGCAAAGGTGGAATCCTTTTGTGTTAAAATTTGTATGATATTTTCAATAGACTTGAAAAGTATTATTAAAATCTTTAAAATATGATTCAATCTTATGAAAGGTAAAAAGATTTTCGATTTGCATTAAATAAAGAAGCGTTTAATACTTTTGGAGAAAAAGTGACTGCTTTGTAAATCTTTACAATGTTTATATAGAGTATCGTAAATTATGCTAATTACGGACGGAATATAGGCGTGTAAATCTCATAATACAGGAAAAAACTCCGTTTACATAAACTGCGAATGTTCTAATTACATAGGCACGATAACTTTGTATTATGACACCAAAAACAAAAAAAAACAAATCATCAAGTAACAATTTTACTAACTATTACACATAAACATAGACATTCCACTTCAAATCTTTTTTGAGAACTAGTTTGAGTTTCTTGAGAAACAATTCCCATGGGTATATCGGTATCAGGATTACTAATCCAATCTAAATAAGGACTAATGATGGTAAATATATTGTATACAATATTGTTGTCTTCAAGCGCAAGTGAACCAGAGGGGAATGTTGCTATTCCTACAACGAGTGGACCCAATAGAAGGGGAGCTCCTTCGCCAAAATGTCCTACATGTGTTTTCGGGATGTCTGCACTTTCAATTCCACATAGGCAGTTGTACCACTCGGCGTTTAAACATGGCGTTTGATGATAAACTTGCATTTGAAGTATCATCATACGATCGTCCAACTTTCCATAACCAACGAGATTTAGTTCAGCATTTCGTAGGTCCGAAATCAAATAGTTTCCAATGTTGGCGCCGTTCACAAACAATTCAAGGTAAGGTTTGACAGTGAAGACGAGTCCGATATTGCTTTGCATGCGTGTAATGTTTTCATTGGACTCGAGCGCAAGTTCAAGTTTGTAATCATGATGCAATCTTGTAAAAGCAACTTTGAAGAGTGTTTTTGGGTCCGTATCCACGTCGAAAGCTGCAACTGTTACAGCGACAAAGATTATTTCATTTTTCACGCAGGTACCAGAAGTTAACACAGTGCGTTCATTAATAATTGTCCCAGTGCATGAATAAATTTTTATACCATTCAATAGTGCTACAACATATGGATGTGCTTCTGCTATCCTTTCTATAGATTTCCAATCGCTAGAAATTCTTTCTTCCATCATTGTGTTAGTAGCAATCAATGAAAATGAAATTATTTTAATAATCGTTCGCACGACTAGTATCATATTAAAATGATACGACACGGCTGGTACGTTTAACCAAAACAAGTAAGTCTTATAATAACATCAATTATTCTATTAGTGGTTGTTTGACAGTCATGTTACCTTTTAGTAATTTAAAACAGTTGTGGTGAATCTAAAGAGGTCGAAATAAAAAGAGAAATAGCATAGATAAAACACAATAAAGAAGATTTATAATAAATATACAGATTTTGCATTGTAGCTTACCAAATGTTGTTTAGCAAACAAAAAACACTACGATTAGAGGTCATTATATTACCTTTTAAAAATTTATTTGTTTTCATTTTTTATATTTTTAATCCTACTAAATGTGTTATATGAGAAAATATAAAAAAATATATAAAAAAACCTACAAAAACGGCAAAATAATCATGTCTGTTTTATGGGAGCCTCCCTTAAATATTATTTCATTCTGTTTTTTAGTGTTTGTTGTTACATAATTATATAACAAAATTTCAACTGTCTAACTTTTACGGTTCATAACAGCTTGGTGACAGATAGACAGCGGAGTCTTAGTAATAGGATCCCGTTTTACCCTTTGGGTACGGAACCCTAAAAAGCATAAAAAGTATTATATACATTTTAGTATTTCGATTGTAAAGTTACCCCTGAGGATAAATATTTAATCTTATCGAGTCATGTGTTGTGTCTAATAATAGACATTTTTAAAAAGCCCCGGTAAAGGATAAGATTTCGTATTACACAAGATATGAGACCAATAATATCCATGGCACTTTCCATGTCATATTAATGTGAACTCAAGTGTAATAACGTGCGTGTTTTATTCATTTAACCATAGATATTCTTGTGTAGTTATTGAATTAGTCTTGTGTAAACGAAGAAGTAAGGGGACTTTTATTGTGGTATGTGTGGTTATGTACAGTGTGGACTTGCTACTAAATTTTGAAATAAAATCTTATATTTCCTATTTTAATTTATTACACAAATTACTCCAAGTGGACACAGAAATAGAGATACTTAACTGTATCTAATTAAGAGTTATGAGGAAAAGTATAAAAAAACAAGTACCATTAATGTTTATTATATAAAAATGTATATAAGCGTAAACTATAAATTTTTATTTTACTAAGCCAACTAGTTTCTTATTAAAAGTGTAATAATCAAACAGTATTTCAAAATATTTTTCCGGAAAATATTGTCTTAGGTATCAGTTAAAACTTGTATATCATTCCGTATGTTCTTTCCTAGTCCCATCACCAAAATATATGAAAGATTAGCACTTAGTAGGCACAACACTAGTGTAGCACACGGAAAATTCGTTTTTCATACAATTTTCTTACATTAAAAACCTACAGCTCTTTTTCGTTTTAATTGTATGGAGGCTTAGCTACATACATAATTTGAGTAGTTATTATTGTAACTTATTTAGCAATTTCAGCGTTATAAAAACATAAAGAAGAACTTTTCAAACGTGAGAGGGAAAACGATCGTGAAATAAAAATGAATGCTCTCTAAAATTGTTATTTGCGTTACATTTATTCAAATTTCACAGTATTTAGTTAGATGGAAAATCTTTTAAAATTGATGATAGTAAGTATACATTTAGCTAGGGAAATATGTTTACTTTATGCAGTTCTTTTATTCAAAAATGTATAAAGTGTAATATACATTCTATGTTAATCATTTTAGTCATAAAAACAAAATCGTTTTCAAACAAATATATTAGGTATTTTAAAAGTCCGTGATATTATTTAGGACTATTCCTGATCATAATTGTTTCTCCTCGTCGTTATAGGAGGCTCATCAATTAACCCCAAAGATTTTAAGGCTGCCACTTGTGTCATAAATAACAATCCTGATGGATTCTTATAACATTTACCTAAAGGTTGTATTGTTACATCTGTAAAAAAACAGTACCGAATTTGATATAAAATATGTATAACGAGTTATTTATTTTTACATATATTCATTTTTAGGTTTCCTTTTAATTTGCATATTGTATTAAACAACAAACGTTACGATTCACATTAACATGTGACTATGAAAATAACTATGAAAATGAAGCATCTTTGGCTCTCATTAAACATAACTCTAATTGATAAATGAATGAAGAACTGATCTTTGTACTCACTAACTCCAAGGGCGCAAGAAAATAAGTCAATATGACAATGATTTATCATGGGCCTGTAATCGTATGAATCCATATTCCCTTTCCAAATTTGCGCACAAGCAGGCTCGTAGGTGTCAACACAAAATGTTGGGCAAGTGTGGTTACAGGCTTGATGGGCGCCCACGATGCTGAAATCATGCACACGTCTTCCGCTTCCCGAAATATATCGTGTTTTTTTTCTAATATTGCAAAACTTATCCGGCACCTGATTTATGTCTGTTGAAATATCGGCATAACTATGTATACAAAAATAAATAAATATTCTTGCAATAAGTTTGAATTGAAACGAAAATTGTAAGCATGTTGGGGTTTGATAATTAGTTTTTTTTTATAATTCCAAATATACAGTTGATATATGCAAAAACTTAAGAATCGTTGTATTCCTCCAATTCTTTTTTATCTGCTATAAAGCTATATATCGATTACGTGAGGTAGTTACACGTGCGCGGGAAAAGGTTATCTGCGCGTACTGATTTACTAGTAAGTATGAACTTTTATAGAGAGCGCGGCTGCTACGCATGGCAAGCATCCATCTCAACTCATTTCTTGTAAAGCAGAAATTTGCTTTATCCCTTGAAAGGTATTATTACTCTGCTAAGCAAATGACCATGACACAACATGACCCATTACTACTTGTATAAATCGTAAGCGCCGATGGTTCCAGGATTTGCCGCACGTAATCTCAACTAATGTATAGATAGAGACAAGACCGTAGAAATGACAGCTTGTGTAAGTGGTGTTCGAATTGACATAAGCAGCAGTAATCACATACCATCATGGAGCTCACTCGTTTGCTAAAGCTGGATCTGAAACAGCACAATCACTGAAATCATAAGAGCCGAATAAAACTGAAATGCTTGTTTGCCAACTTCTGCCATAAAAAAACCCTGGTATTCAAAGGCTAAAGTATTCACATTGGTTCTTTATATCTGTATATAGAATATTTTATTTTACTATTTATTTGGAAAACTCATAATATACCACACTGGCTATTATTATTTATAAATGGCACAAAAACCAGTTAAGTGTCATCCGATAAACAGTGAATGATGATATGATGATTGTACATGCTTTAAAAGATGAACATTACCTATTATTGATTTCAGTTTGCACTTAATTTTTTGGAGATGACAGTAGTTATGAAATTTTTTGAAAAGTCTTGTTCCATCAACGCTTCGAGCAAAACCACATACTTCGTCAAATACGTTAGAGCAAAAAATGTTAGAACACTCTTGAAACGACGACGGGATTAGGCAACCTGCGAAAATGTGAAAAATTGTAGGAAAATTTAAACTTTTCATAACAAAAATCTAACAAAATCAATTACATAACAAAATAAACAAAATTATCACATTCCTATGAAGAAGTTCACTCATTGCTTTATTTACATGTGTGAAACCTGGCCGAGGAAGCACTATTGCATTCAGTATCAGTATTGATACGAGTTCAATTAAATTTATCAGATTTATCGTAAAGTTAATGAATTTTCATTACTTCGATTTCTGTATGGTTAACTTTGTATGTTTCTGTATGATTATGCACTGTTTAGTTTTTTTATTATATCATCTTAAAATGATGGTAATTTTTATTGTTTTAATGTGGAAGTATATAAATAGGCGACTATCAAGTATAACAAAGCCAGGTAGTAATTTGAAGTTTTTTATAGTGCTAATCTCTGCACTTAAGATTAAACATTAATAAAACTTGTAGAAAAAGTACGAAAAGATTGTCGCCGCTGTGGGAATCGAACTCACGTATTCGGCTTTCGCGGCCTGACGCTTTAGCCACTAAGCTAAACGGCTGATTGCCACAACGACGAAAATCTTAACATCTTTTATCTACATTGTTATTTAGAATTTGAAGCAATGCTTGGCGCATCTATTGTTATATCCTTTCTAGCATACAAACAATTTCGAATATCGTTTTACAAAGATAACTTCAAACGAGAGATGTCGCCATTGCTTTTTAGTAATTTGAAGTTTTTTATAGTGCTAATTTCTGCACTTAAGATTAAACATTAAAACTTGTAGAAAAAGTACGAAAAGATTGTCGCCGCTGGGGGAATCGAACCCACGTCTTCGGCATTTGCGGCCTGACGCTTTAGTCACTAAGCTAAACGGCTGATTCTTTAACGAAGAAATTTTTTACGTCGGTGTGGCAATCAGCGACATCTCTCGTTCGAAGTTATCGTTGTAAAACGATATTCGAAATTGTTTGTATGCTGGAAAGGATTTAACAATAAATGCGCCAATGTCTAATAATAATTGCTTCAAATGCTAAATAACAATGTAGATGTTAAATTATAATGTCTTGTGATTCTATTTACCATGCTGTTAATTATACATGGGAAGCGTTGTGTGCAGCGTCCAAGTTTCATGGAATATTGTTGAAAATGATACAGTTAGCAATAAATAAATATTTTTCTACGAATTTTCTTACTCCAGTCGATGTGTTATCATACATAGTCACAAGGCCTCGAGAACATTTATGTCACGTACGAGTGTGTAAAATGTTGATCTCTACTGATGTATATCAGAATTCCTGATGTACGTCGCTATTCTCCCGGGGAGGAGAAAATCAATATCACTACATACAGAGGAACATGTAGGTTCCTCCTTCTTTTGGTTCATTGAATTATTCGAAATACATACGGAAAGTACTGTGTATCAAAATGTTCTATTGGCATGAGTTAACATATACGCACACAAGGAAACTCTCAAATGGTTCTATAACGGAATCAAAATAAAATTAGGGAAGGCAAAGCAATATGAGTAATTTGTTATTGGAATGAGCTTCCTTAAACGCAACTTGTGGAAAAAGTGCCTCCTTTCGAGTCTCAGCGTCTTCTCAGGAGCTTCTCTTTTTCTAACTTGCTCTAGTTAACAATTAATTGCAATTCTATAAAGCTATTTATTTATTATTTTTTTAATTATTTAGTTCCAATCAAAGCTGTTAATTTAAATATGATTATTATATAGGTACATATATAGCGAAAGAAATATCATTCCACACCTCTAACTTTATTTTATTTTATAAATGAAACTTATCACGTTTATTTTTAATTTTAATTCCCAACGTTTCGAACCCTTTACAGCGTTCATGGTCACGGGACAGAACAGACGGGACAGACCATGAACGCTGTAAAGGGTTCGAAAAGTCGGGAATTAAAATTAAAAATAAACGCGATAAATCCGTAAAATTAGTTTCATTTATAATGTGTAATCGCGTAAATACAAGAAATTTATTTTATTTTATGGAAGTAATAGTTTCCTCGGTAAGGTTTCACACATGTAAATAAAGTAAATTTAATAAAGTAAGTAGTTTTTCGCATCACAAAAATATTTTTTTCCACCACATGGACCCCGTACATCTGGTACACTTGAAACAGCTTTGACTTTCAGAATGAAACATTAAATAAAGCACAATCAGTTGTAAAGTTACATAAAATAATATCAGTCATGTTGTTAGGGTAGGTGAGTACCTAAATTAAATATTAAAATCAGTGATTTTGGTTACATCATTATAGCACGTACTACAATTCCTTAACGTGTTCTGGACTCTTCGTCCAGTCTAAAAGAACTCGTCAATCATCTCCATCCTCCATTGTTGTATAGACAGTGACTTTTTTCATTTACAGTCGTGAAGGTTCACAGGTGTAGGCTAAACTGTCGTAAAACCGTTTGCCCTTCTGATAGGATGCAAGTCTTTATGTACATTATTTTATCGAGATTTGAGAGATCCACAACATTACAACAGGAAACGTAATTCATTTTATCCATTTTCTTGAAATCGTAGTAGTTGGTAAGGTTGCACAAACTTGTTAGTTATTAATAAAGTATGTACCAATATGTTAAGGAAGGACCATACGCATATCTAATAGCGGCCATAGCTACGATTGACGTATATTATATGTTTAAAAAAATTTCAACCCTGAAAGAAAATAGTTCATAGTCCTTTTCCATACAATTTAATGTAAAATACGATGACGAATTCATTAAAAGCTTCCGGGTATTTTCATCTCAATGGAGTATAAATAAATAACTTACGTTTCCGCACGTTTTTATTCTTATTGTAATGATTCATTTATATCGTATTGTTAATTTGTATTATTAATTAGTAATTTCAATTTAATTCTTAATTTGAAACGCTGTTGATGATTTGTATGTTGTTTGTACCTATAATTGGAGTAGCACAAATCTTGTGTTTAAGTTTCTTTTTTTTTTAACTTGAGTTACAACATAGCCCAATAAGTAAAGAGCCTACACAGCAGCGGCCCCGATACATTCCAGTGGCACGAGGCGCAACTCAGCAGGAACGTGATCATTGACGTCAACGGATGCAATCGGCGCTCGCCAATATTCGATTTCCTAATTTTTGTTCTAATAATTATATTCATTCTAGATCTAGCATCGATCAGATTCAATACCTTTCTAGTTATAATTATATTGTAATTTTTATATTATAATAAAGTATTTTTAAATCAGTTTCGGTTTTTTTTGGGTCCTTCGGCTGCAGTTAACGTAATTGGCGCAGTCGGTAGGATACTCAAAGTTAGCTAGGCTATCGTAGCTTTCAAGCTTTAAACGAGTATTCGAATTTACTACGGACCAACTGCAAGCCAAGAGGATATATCAAGACATCGATCCCGAGAGAACCGAGATGAAATCAATGTGAGTACACCAGAATTCTATCTAGTGTTGCTTCCTTATCCTTAAGTATTAATCCTCCCCTTCAAGATTTATCATCCTAGAGTTAATCGTCCTCGGGAGCCTGAATCCCGCCAGGCTCGCTGGTATATATTAGACAGCAATAGGCAAACCGAATTAGAAATAAGTTCTCATAACTTTACAAATATAATGGCCCACGACCCGGACACAATTTTTAAGGCCTTACGCCTTGTCCCGGAATTTGATGGTAACCCTAATATTCTACTACACTACTAGGTTCATTAAGATATGCGATAGTTTAGCCGCTCAGATTCTCAGTGCTTCGCCCGGTAGCGAATTTTCAAATTTATGTCTTTTAAATGGCATACTTAATAAAATAACAGGAACCGCCGCCTGCACGATAAACTCAAACGGTATTCCTGAAAGTTGGTTAGGAATTAAAACAGCACTAATTAATAATTTTTCCGACCAACGAGACGAAACAGCTTTATATAATGACCTCTCTTTAGCATCGCAGGGCAATAGAACCCCTCAGGAATTTTATGACCATTGCCAAACCTTATTCAGCACCATAATGACATACGTGACTTTACATGAGACTATACCGACTACTATAGAAGCAAAGCGTGATCTTTATAAAAAAGTTACCATGCAAGCGTTTGTTCGAGGTTTAAAAGAACCCTTAGGTTCTCGTATACGTTGCATGCGACCCTCAACTATTGAATAGGCTTTAGAATATGTTCAAGAAGAACTGAACATAATGTATACTCAACAACGTAGTGAGCCCACTAAAAGTCAACCAACCACTAAGTTCACTCCATCATCAACACCACTCAATGTTCCATAACCTCAAACCTTCAAAGCTCCAGTACCTAACTGGCCAGTTCCCTTTGGCCAGCGACCTTTCAGACCACCACCTCAACCTTTCAAATTACCTCAACCTGTACAGCACCAACAGCGTATGCCCTCTAACACCCAGAGGATGTTCGCTGCACCCCCACCTAATTACAACCCTCGAAGTAATGTGTTCCGACTTCCACCCCGAAACAATCCTCCACAAGCTCAAACCGCTCAGCCTATGAGTGGTGTCCAGCGCTTCATTCCCAAGACATTACCGCATACAAAAATGTTGACAGGACATGACTGGAATAAGTTCGGTAATCCACCTCCAACAAATTATTTTAAATCGCGCGAAATGAATACAAATGAATGCACCCCGTACAACGACTCATATTACGAACATCGTCCGGAATACGAGTACGCTTACTATACTGACTTTACCGATTATGCCCCGGGTTTCGTTTCTGATTATAATTATTATAACTACATGACTGACGAAAACAACGACAATAATTATTGTACCGAAATGCAACGACAAGTAGAAACCACACATGAAAATCAGGATTTTCAGGAGGATTCGATTATACAAAAACCAAAATAGAATTAAACCTTCAGACTCAAAGACAATTACCATATATTCAAACAGCGAACCCCCCTTTAAAGTTTTTGATCAGCCCGCCCGCGCGGAATTATTTAATATCGAGTGCATGCGCACCAAACAACCGTCGGATCGCGCGCAAGACGTAATTTCACGCTTGCGTACGGATCATTTAAACGAGGAAGAAAAAGCAAATTTAATTAGTCTTTGCTCGCGCTACGCCGACGTGTTTTATTTGGAGGGCGAAACTCTTTCTTTTACGAATAAAATT